GGAGCCAATGGAGACAATTTAATAAACTAAACTGAGTTCGTTTGCATGAACTTTGGTCCCACTCTGAAGGATAGATTAGGAGCCTGAAAAATGCAATGTTCAAAAAAAATGTTATATAGTTCAGATAAAGCAAGAGAGAGACCAAAAAGAGTAAGAAAAGTGCTGATAAGTGGGAGTCAGAAAAACTGAAGGAAAAAAGGAGGGATGTGGGGAAGGAGGAGGAGAGGGAGAGCAAAAGGCTCTTTAGGTTCTCCAGGATCTGGAGGTTTTATGTCTGTTCTCGCTCTAGTTTCAGTGGTTCTTACATAACTGGAAAAGACTGCTGAATAATGACATTGTGTATAATCTGTTAGCCAAAACCAACCCACCGCAGCCCGTCGGTGCTCGGAGGGAGCGAAGGTTTGGACGCAAACTGATTGAGGTTAATTACTGCTTCTGCTGCAGTTTTACCATCACTTTTCCATCCCATCACTCTACGACTGAAAGCTGCAGCGGATGAAAAGTTGCTGTCATCTTACGTTTTACAGATAGTCTTTCTCAGATTATTACAATGTTCTTCATTTTGCAGTTATAATGTCTTAATTTCCTTGAATTATTGTCGTAAGCACACATAGAAACTTATTGTTCGAGCAAGTTAGTTATGTGTTAGGGATAGTTTGAACCTGTGGAGCAGTGGTTCTGTGGGCAGGTCAAGAACAGTAATTATCTTACTTGTTGCAGATAGTTCTTTGAACAACTTCAGCTCAGAGTTCATGCTGTTCTGTTCTCAAAAGTCAGAACTCAGATCTGGGATCACGTCAGATGCATCTTTACAATGTTCCAGTTGCAATTTAAAAAGCCAGTAGGATTTACCCATGGTTGTGCTCAGGGACCAGGCTAACCGCGATTAGCAACACAAGCCGATAACAGTGGATTTCTCTGCATTCAAACTAACAGCAGCCAATAAGTTTGTGTGACTAGATTATCGAGAGGACGAAATTTAATAAAAAGTTTATTCCTAAAGCTACACAACTTTTCATGAGTGAGGCAACCATAATGGATTTTGAAGATAGGTCTGATATCTCAAATTTTCCAAATCAAAATTCTGACTTTGAGAAGCAAGTTCAAAATCAAAAAAGACAGCTGTTATCACAGGACCAGCTGGAGCTCGTACCAAGTTCAAGTCAACTTTATTGTCGTTTCCATCACATGGGGTACATGTGATGTAATGGAATTATGCACTCAGGGTCCCAGTTACACCCACCAATAGCAAAATATAAAGTATAAAAAAAAACAGTACTGGATTTTTCGGACTATAAGGCGCATTAAGCAAAACAAATCAGTCAGATAAGTCGAACTTTATTCAACTCATTCACAATAACCACATAAAATCAGTTCGAGGTCAGTAAGCACAACCAGAATTTATACATAAGGTGCACCTGATTATAAGGCTCACTGTTGATTTTTGATCAAATTTAAGGATTTGAAGTGCGCCTTATAGTCTGAAAAATACGATAAATAAGGATCTAAGATACAAAGTATATACTAAACAAATGCCAAATGGTACAAGTTCATGCAAAAGCAATTTAAGATGTTTTATGCAGTAATTTCACATAACATGATTATCCTAGCGTTAAGAACTTTACAACATTCCTGCAGGACATGTTAGGATGAACAGACGTGGTTGAACCTATAGAAGCAGACTGATTCTAGAAACTTTATTAACAATAACCAGTACACCTGTAAATAAAGACTGTCGTGGCAGCAAATTACAAAAAAAACTCTCATGGCTGCAGACAAGGCACAAGGAGGCTCAAAATGCCACAAAGAGACACAAATAAGCACAAGGAGGATGTGGCAGAAATGAAACCAGCAGCAGGTGTGCCTGGGTGTAGCAGGCTGACTGAGGGAGCAAAACATGATGGGGACAAGTGGTTTATGGCACATAGGAACACACAAGTAACTAAACTTAAAACAAGAAGTACAACACATAAATAAACCTAATCATAAAACACATAAGACTGCTAACTGTGGGGAGTACGACGGAGCTTTAGGGCCATGCTAAAAAACAAAAAAAATTTACATTGCCATGTCTGTCCTATGGGGAATGGTGATGCAGAGGTTAGAAAAGATGGGCCTGTGATCAGAAAGTCACAGGTTCAACTCCCCGGACTGACAGCATCAAAATGTGGATGGAAAAGGTGAAACACCCACACCTGCCTCCACCCTTATTTGCACCACTTTGCGCTCTTGAGCAAGGCCCTTAACCCCCATCATCTGCTCCCAAACAGGTCTCTCTTGAAAATGAGTTCTCGTGACTCAATGACACTACCGTATTTTCCGCCGTACATGTCACTCCGCCCTATAAGTCGCATCAGTCCAAATATTTCTAAGAAAGTGAAAAAAAATCCATAAATATGTCCCTTTGCCATATACGTTGCTTCTATTACATGTCATCGTTGATGTGTCGCATTTGTTATGCGTCATCGATGACAACCCGGAAATGTGGGCCGGTGTTGTGCCAAAAATCGATTGGCTGGCAAATGGCGACCGTGGGAGCGTGCACGGGAGGACTTTAGCAAGAATTTAACAAAATTAACAATTAAAAACAATTATTTGTTTGCTCAACTTTATAGCAAAGGTATGTCTCAGTTGAACTTTTATTTAATAAATGCACTTCAATGGTCAAATCAGCTGAATTTCGCCGGGGCGCCGCCGCAAAATGAAGTTGATTTGACAGTTGCTCCAGGCAGACAAAGGTGGCAGACTACTTTGGCAAGCCGATTGTGTCATTAATAGTCGCTTTCACTTTTTACATGATACAACGGCATGCCATACTACTCAAGTGCCATCTAGCGGCAGAAAATGGTAGTGTTCAATATTTTCAGGCAGAATTAATGAAAACAATCATGTCTCAAACAAAAATTGGATTATCAATATGGGGGAAAAAAATTTCATAAATACGTTGCTTCGGCATATAAGTCGCAGGGCATGCAAATTATGCAAATTATGCAAAAAATGGCGACTTATAGGCCTAAAAATATGGTACCTGTATAAATAAAGGGTAAATAAAAATAAAATAAAACAAACTAACAAAACACATATCCTGACAGGAAGTGCCATGTGCTGAACCAGAAGCCACAACCAGCTGCTCCTGCCACTTTGTGTCAGCAAATACCCATAAAAGTCTAAGCAAATGACCGTGTGATGCAAAACTGTGGAGGATAATTTTAAAATAGTGTTCACATGGAGTTTGATAGATTGGAGTTGTTTTAGAAAGTCTTCTTCAGTCGTAGCCCCGCTAAAACCGTTTGCTGCAGTCTGGTCACAATGCAACTCTTTCTGGAAAACAAAAAAGTTCCACAATTTCCTGCGGGATCAATAAAGTTCTTATTTTATTTTATCGCTTCAAAGAGCTGTTTCCAGAAGGGGACATATTAATTGTTTATAAATTTTTCACAGAAATCTACCTCAAAATACCATTAGTGCCCAGCAGTTGAAAATGTGTAACTTTCCATTTAGATCACAGTTTTTGGTTTCATTTAGTATTTATTCTGGCTTTGCTCACTGCACGGGCACAAGGAAAAAAAAAAGGAAAGATGTTTTTCTTTGGAAAAATACAAATTCATTCTTTACGTTTTCAGCAGACGCACTGCTGATGGTGGATGAAGCATAGAACAGCAGTGGAGGTATCCCCCACATCACTCCCCATGCTCCCCAGCCATGCAGAGGTCATGATGATGCACATCTGGTATTTCCTGTTTCCTCTCCTCCAGATGCCCCCAAGTCATAGACACACACACTTTACAAGGACTTGAACAGCATTCATAGGACTGGGCTTTGGTCCCCCTAAGTAGCAGTGGGTCCTCACACGTTGGTGTGTACAGTACTGGGAAAATGCTCCTAACAAGGTAACATAAACAAACACACACTCAGTTCCGCAGACTCAAACGCACAGAAACATCTGTGCCCTTGTGAAGTGATATCTTTTCAAGCAAAAAAATAATAAAAATTAGTCACATACACGTGCATATTTCAGCTGCTGCTCACACTAAAGTTTCCATTGACCAGTTAAAAACTTCCAGCTGGTGTGGACTTTAGACTGAAAAAATGAGCAGAGGAAAAATGTGTAAAGGGTGAAGGTATAGGCAAAGCAAAAAGAAACACTACAGCCTGACAAAGAGGAGAGACAAAAGGTGGAAGGAGTAAAGGAGCGGAGAACTGGGGAGAGCTTCTGCATCCCATGAAGCTGACAAACAGTTTCCACTTCTGTGGATGCTGCATTGCATTATAGCTGTGTGTGTGTTTACAGTATGTGTGTGTGGATGGGGGACAGTGGTGTCGTATGGTTTTCATAATTCTCTCAGGGTTTTTAGTTATCCCTAACCTCCACCACCCACCCACACACATTCATCCCCTCGGGTCCTCTTGCGGACACTTTACCAGCCCCCTCTCCCAAAAAACGCTTAAATCTCCTCCACGATTTTCCTCTACGTCGCCTCCCCCCTCCTCCCAGCCCTCCCCAGTCTTTCTCTCTTTCTGATGCTCAGTCTAAAAGCCAGCTCAGCAGAGGTAAGAAAGCCCTGGCAAGATCAGATGAAGTCTTAGGGTTTCCATCCTGGATATTTATTAAACTCATTTTTGGAGTTGGAGGAAAGACATCTGGCTACATTCAGCTCCTCACTGGACTGCATTTTGAACTGTACTGGTAAATAACTGGAGGCACTGGAAGGGTTTTTTTTAAAGACTCTGCAGGAGGCTGGTTAAAAAGGTCATTGGCAGTTTGAATGAAAGTTTGCACTGATTCAAGTGCCTCAGCTGCAAAGAGCAAATGAAAGAAAACATATTTATGTTGGACTTTTTCTAATAAACTAGTCAGATCAAAATTGGCTCAAGATTTTTATAATCAAAGGTGAGAGGGGAAAAAAAATCACTTTTTTCTCAATTATTTTTTCTGGTAATAAGTTGAGGTACTCCTTTGAATGTTGGCTTAGATTAGACCTTAGTTAGTGGTTGAGGATGTTGAAGAAGAGCAGGAGCGGCTGCAGCAGCATGAGTCTCTTGTGCATCCTGTGGCTGATGATGGTTTCTGTGGCCCCTGGAAGCTGGGGCCAAAGGCTGAGGACGCCTGAGGAGGAACAGACAACGGCCGATGCTGAGCTGGAAGAAAAACACGCAATCTGCTACATGGAAGGATGCTATGCTGTTTTCTTCCAGAAGAAAATCTTCAGGGAAGCTGGGCAATCCTGCCGGGAGCGCGGTGGGACCCTGGCAACGATGCATACCTATGAAGCAGCGGGCGTGGTTCATAAACTGATGTCGACCGTTGATGCACAAGGCACCAGGTCCAGGTTTCGTCTCTGGATTGGACTGCACAGACCTCCGCGCCAGTGTTCAGCCACCCGACCGCTCCGAGGATTCGTCTGGGTCACAGGCAAAGTCTTATCTCTGATTTTTCCACCGATATCAAAGTTGTGCTGACACTTTTCACCTTAGTATGTGGCAGGTTTGCTCATGCAAAGTCACCATATATAGAAAAGTAAATACATCCTTGTAAATAACCATTGATGCAATTAGAGGACAATATCTTAGCCGCTCAATAAATAGTTACAGATAATTATAGTTGTAGCTTGAGAGGATTGTTTTCATTGACTTGTGAGCATGTGTGATTAGGAGTAATGGCCTAGTTAAAACATCAATTAAACATTCTTATGGTGGATTTTTGTTAATGGGGTAAATAATTATTTAAGTAAACACAGAGATACTTGTTTTCCTTCTGTTAAAATAAACTTCCCTTAAAATATAACATTATATTGTGATGTCAGGATATTGAGTCAATTTGATCCTTTTTAGCACACATCTGTCAGACTTTGGCACCTCAGGCTCGTCTGCAGGACTTTGCGCTCCCTGAATGGTTTTTGCATTAACTCCCATCATTTTGCTGAGAAAGGGTTGGTGCAACTGGGGACATTCGCTCCTTGAACTCATTGCCACCCCTCAGAGTGATTTAGACATCATGCAAACTTACAAAAAGCAGATGTGGGTGCCTCAGTCTACAGCCAGAAAAGGCATTACCCTTTCAAGAGATTTGAGGCCAGCTTACCGGTACTTCAGTTTTTCCCCTCTGGGTCATTTTCAGCAGAATGTTTTAAATAAAAACACTGTTAAAAAATATAGGTCTTATTTGATTATATCAAAGCAGTGGACACAGAATTAATGTTATTTATTCTGGGTAGGATTATGGAACATGATGGATGACAACAAATATCTATGTTTTTATGAAGTAGGCAAAATGAGTTCTAATGATATAATGAAACAAAAAAAACATATTAAACATAATATATATTTAAATTAATAATCTGCCTTTTTTGTTGTTGGAGAGAACTGACTCAATCTCATTCATTTCAAACAACAAGAGGACAAAAAATAACAAGCCCATTGAACTCAATTTTGGCATGTTTTTCAACATTTTCCACTCTGGCGACCCCTAGTGGTCATTTAAAAACTATTTGAGTTAAAAATAATAATGCACTACAGTAGTACTGTAAATTCTTCATCTCCACAAATAACTGAGCACAACTGCATTAATACTTTAATGAGTCATGTAAGGTCTGAAAAAACAACGACAAATCAAATTACCATGAATTACTGTGTTTGACTGATTTGGTACTTTTCTTTTCATCTAACAGGAAATCAGGAAGGTCAATTCACCAACTGGATTCGTGAAGAAATGCCCAAGACATGTGCTGCCCATCGCTGCGTGGCCATGACTGTAAACACGTCAGAGAGCGAACGAGAGAGCACAGCTAACTACAAGTGGGCTGAAGGCCCCTGTGCGCTGCCCCTGGATGGATATATTTGTCAGTACAACCACAAAGCCACGTGTTCACCGCTCGAAGAGGAGGGCAGAGGTCCAGCTGTTTATACAACCCCGTTTAAACTGGTCAGCACCCTGCTGACCCATGTGCCATTTGGATCTGTAGTTACCATGCCCTGTCCTACAGACAGATCAGACCCAGATGCTCCTAATGAGCACGTCGTCCTGTGCAAGGAAAGAGATAACGGGGTGGTGGGCTGGTCTACCGATGCCCCTCTGTGTTCTTCTAGTTTAGCAACGCAGCATCAGGACTGGTGTAGTGGAGACCACGGTTGTGAGCATCACTGCCAGAACACGGACCAAACTTACTACTGTTACTGCTCTGAAGGGTTCATCATAGACGAGGATGGCTACAGCTGCAAGCCTGATCCCCTGAACCAAAATGACCCACCTGAGCTGCCTCCTGATTCTGCTCTCCCCACTGACCAGCCCCAAATCAAAAGGGTTTGTGTGGAGATGGGGTGCGAGTATGACTGTACAGAAACATTTCGGGGCACCCGCTGCACATGCCCCCCCGGCTACCAGATAAGTCCCGATGGTCGCAGATGTTCTGATGTAGATGAATGCCAACAACAACCATGTCCCCAACTTTGTGTGAACACCCCAGGCACCTTCCACTGCAGCTGCTATCAGGGCTTCCAGCCAGACAACGAGGGTGAGTGCGTGGATGTAGACGAGTGCCTCGATGAAGGCAGCTGCGAGGGCTCCTGTAAGAACACGATTGGATCCTTCTTGTGCCTGTGTGAACCCGGCTATGCGATGAGTGGTGAAGGAGATTGTCTCGATGTGGATGAGTGCGCGCTGGAGTCACCCTGCGAGCACCAATGTCTCAACCAAATTGGGGGGTACCGATGCGACTGTGACGACGGCTTTGACCTGCAGCCAGATGGAATAACCTGCCGACCTTCAAATTATGATGAAGAATATTCCACTCTGACTCCTGACACCGGTACATCTGATGAGTATGATATTCCTTGGTCCACCACTGACCCATATTTTAAAGAAGACAGCAATAATTATGTCAACTGGCTGACAGAGGCCCCCGTGGGACTTACCCCTGATATGGCTCATCAGTCAGATAATCACCTAAACCAGTGGGATGACTTTTCACCAAGGCAATACCAGACAGCACCATCCCCAACACAAAAAATTGCCATCAACAATGACATAGATCATGATGTTAAGACAAGAGGAGAAGAACCAAGTGGTGGGGTCATAGTTGAAACAGCGAACGGGTCATCCAGTGGTACAGCGGAGTCTGAGGCACCTAAGACGGACACCAACAGTACAGACGTGGTAGGAGGGTCTGCTGGTAAACGCAAGCATGACAAGAGCTGGTTGCTGGTGGCTCTGCTGGTGCCGTTGTGTGTGTTTCTTGTAGTGATGCTGGCTTTAGGAATCGTCTACTGCACCAGCTGCGCAGTGGATAAGAGCCTCCGCTTTTCGGACTGCTATCGCTGGGTTCTCCCTACAACGCCTCCTCCGAGGAAAGATGGCAAAACTCAAGCATGAACCCTGACGTAAACAGACAAAAGGGGATGCTTTCGTACGTCTATCAACATTTTCTGGTGGCAAAAGACTGCTAACTAAAACACAAATTTTGGGTAAATACCACCAATTAACTCTGAAACTTTCTGTGGCACAGCTTTTGTAAATAGCTTTAATCATTTGTTAAAATGCAATAAAAGTCAATAAACTGACAAAACACAATGCTTTTTGTTGTTGTTTTCTTTTTTCTTTTTTTTTTTTGGCTGAAAATATCTTAAAATGACACCTCATCAGTGAGCAGAGCAATAGAGCAGTACCAAAATCAGTGTTTTAATTTTTAATAAATGAAGTTAGGACATGTCTGCCTTTGCTTTAGAGCTGTTTGCTCTAAAGCTCAATTTGCATCTGTCGTGGTTTAAACCGAAATAGAAATTACTGGTATGTTGAATGCTATAAAAGGCTGTTAATGTATATTTTGTTGGAGCAATAACAACAAATTAAATATGCTTCATGCATTTGTTAAGTTACAGTAATTTGCGAAGTATATGGAAAAGTGGAAGTCAAACTTATATTTTATCTTAACCAGGTTATCAACATGGACGTCAATCTTCTTGTTCCTTTCCTTTTTGTTAGTTTTTCCAGTCAAGTGTTTGGAAAAGACTAAATTCCCAGGGGTCAATAAATGCAGCACTAAAAACAGCTACACATCTGTAAGGCTCCTATAAGAATGATAAAAATGTCTGACATTTAAGTATGAAAATACCTTGTACCATCATTTCAGACACCATTAAAAATATACCTGAACTTTGCCTTTACTTTTATCTCAAACAGTCTTGTGGTAAATACATGCAATCGGTACATGCATGGCCAACAAGACCCAAACTAAACCTATAGGATGGTGTTTATTTCTGTGGGCTTTGCCACATGCAAATAGAAAAAAAATATATGTTAGCACACTTCTTTATTGCTTAGTTAGTATTTTACATCATTCTTTGACAGCAGCTGGGAGTGAAGATGTTCAAGCGTAATCAGAGTAGACTTGGTGGTGACGTCATTCCCAAGCATCTAATTTAGCCTCTAGCTGGTGCAGGCAGTCAGGTGTGTAAGGACTGCATGATTAATTGAACCTCCCACTATTGTTAAACCATTTAAACCTACTGGTTTCAGAATCAGTTAGCTGTCCATCCATTTTCTTTACCTGCTTTTTGCTTTCCAGGTCGTGGGGCAGCTGGTGCCTGTCTCCTGCAGTCTCTGTGTTTGAGATGATGAACACCCTGAACACATTTAAGTTCATCCCAGGGACACAAAGAGACAAAAAAAAAATCACACTTTCACTTTAAATTGCACCCCAAGATATACTGTAAGTTAAAGTTGACAAGTACCTTAATGTATGTTTGTTGGCCAGTGGGAGAAAAGCTGAGCACCTGGAGAAAACCTACATGTGCACAGAAAGAACATCGCTACACAGAAAGGTCCCAGGCCAGGAGGAGATCCTACGCCCTTTGTTTCAAGAGACGGCAACTTTACTTTTACCTGTACTGCTCAGTATCAGTCAAAATATATATATATATTTTTTTTCATTTAGCCTTTATTTATCCAGGTTAGTCTCATTGAGCCACGAGAACTCATTTTCAAGAGAGACCTGTTTAGGGAGCACATGGTGGGGGTTAAGGGCCTTGCTCATGGGCCCAGAGTGGGGCGAATGAGGGTGGGGGCAAGTGTGGGTGTTTCACCTACCCCACCCACGATTTTGATGTTGTCGGGGCCGGGGCGTGAACCGGCGATCTTCGGATCACAAGCCCACCTCTCTAACCTCTGCGCCACCACTCCCCCACAATACCCCAGAGTAAACAGATCCTAAAATGCTCTAAGTCAGTTGTTCCAAAACTTCAGCTTCTGAGTCACAAAATAATAGTTGCATCAATTCATGATACCAACTATTGTTGGTTTGAAATAAACTATCACCAGCTGAAAAAGGTTTGTAAGCTCAATCATCCAGGTAGATAACAACAAAAAAAAGGTTAAATTGTGTCATCTAGACCAGTTTCTTTAAGTGAGAAATGTTTCATCCCCCATCCAGAGGACTTACTCAGCCTACAGCCAGATCTGTCTCATCAATGCTGTGTTTCAACCCAACCTCCTGTTGGAATCTCAAAAGTAGGCTTTTAACACAGCAGTGAAGGCTATGGGACAGATCTCGTTGGCAGGCCGTAGACTGAGGAAGTCCTCTGGATGGGGGACGAAATGTTTCTCGCTTGAAGAAACTGGTCCAGATGACAACCTTTTCTGTTATCACCAGTTGCTTACCAAAGAACCTGCCAGCCACTACAGGTGATTATTTTGATCCCTTTATGTCAACTGTTATTATATCTTTGTTTGGTTAAGATTTAAGTCTAAATAAAGGTTAAATGAAAAATCTTATCATGCCATTGAAAATCTTCATCCATCCATCCATTATCTTTTACCCGCTTCTTACATTTTGGGTCACGGGGGTTGCCAGTGCCCATGTCCAGCAATCACTGAGCGAGGGACGGGGTACACCCTGGACAGGTTGCAAGTCCATCACAGGGACACATAGAGACAAACGAGACAAACAGCCATTCACTCTCTCACTCACACCTAGGGACAATTTAGAGTTACCAATCAGTCTAACATGCATGTTTTTGGTCTGTGGGAGGAAACCGGAGTACCCGGAGAAAACCCCACATGAACGGAGAGAACTTACAAACTCCACCCAGAAAGGCTCCCGGACTGGGATTTGAACCGGGGTCCTGCTTGCCGAGAGGCAGCAGCTCTACCAGTTGTGCCACCGTGCTGCCCGCCATTGACAATCTTTTTCAATTTATTTATTTTTTCTTTACAAGACGTCTCACTTCTTGCTCCATGACCCACAGCTGGGTCCTGATCCCCACGTTGGGAATCACTGTTCTAAACAACGCACTTTTGCTCTTTCTATTTGGTTTTAAGAAGAATTTAAGATTTAACATTTTCGACTTCAGCTACTTAACGTTAAAATGCCTAAATGAGGACTTTCTTCTGAAAGTTTACTGCATACCTCCACCTCTCCAAACTCTCTTCCACCTGTTCCCTGTTCTCACCACAGAACAGTCTCATCTGCAAACATCATAGTCCACGGGAATTCATGCCTGACCTCATCTGTTAGTCTGTCCATCACTAGAGCAAACAAGAAGGGGCTCAGAGCAGATCCTTAATGAAATCCCACCTCCACCTTGAAGTCGTCACTACAGCACATCTCACCACAGATCTGTTGTCTTCATGTCCTGTACCAGTCTAACATACCGGTAATTCTCCAGATTTCCTCAGACAATACCACACCTCCTCCCTTGGCACCCTGTCATATGCTTTTTCTAAATCCACAAAGACTCCATGAAGTTCTTTCTGACCCTCTCCACTTCTCCATCAGCATCCTCAAAGCAAAGATGACGTCTGTGGTGATCTTTCTTGGCATGAAACCATACTGCTGCTCACAGTCACCTCTGTCTAAATCTAGCTTCCACAACGCTCTCCCAGATCTTCATACTGTTCATTGTGTGACTCATCAATTTTGACTTAAATTTTCTTTATCTCAGTCAAAACTCTCATGTCACATCTCCTTGACATTTACATAGCTACACTGAAAATGTATGCCAGAACAAAGGCAAATAAAAAGTTAATTCAAACCCATATTTTGTGACTAAAATCTATTTAGTCACTAAATCAACAATTACTTAAAACTTACAAAGATGATCTCTGTAGCGAATCTAAAACAACTATTTTGTGATTGGCTAATATTTACGCCAACCACAAAACACGACTTCTGATTGGTTGAGGGGCGGGTCTATACATGAATGAATACAGGAAGTGAACTGCGTGAGACTGCAATTTGACGTTCGTGTAGACGTTTACCATTTGTGAGGTAACGAATCGTTGGGTTAACTTTTATCTCCTTTTCTACCTCTTATTTATATGTCAAAGAGGAGTCAAAGCATGAGTAAAAACTGTCGCATAGTACTTAAAACTCGCGTGGTTTACAGAAGTTGTGTTAATGTTTGTTCTCACGTTGCAGCCGTTAGCATACTGGCTGCTAACGTTCACTAATTGACCCACTATTGTCTTTTCCTAAACATGTGGGTTTAAGTGACTCCAGTCCAGGTGATTGTAGGAGGTTGATTTTAATGACGCACTGGGGCGAATAAATTTCCAGTAAACACGTTACTTTTGTGATTTCTGATTCTAGTTAAAAAAAATAAAATAAAAAAAAAGAAACCAAAAACGTGAAAGATGACCTGACTGAATCTTTTGGTTTAATGTTCTCTGATGAGCAGCTGCTGACCCTAAACCCTCAGTGGATCTCTTAAATCACTTTTTTCTTTAAGTTCCCCCTAAATGTTTGTGTGTCTTTCTGTTGTGCTTTTATTTTACATTTTTTTATTCTGTTGAACTCCTACTTTTAATTAATCTGCGTTTTCAATTTGTCTTCCTAACAGGACCTAACCAGCATTATTAAATCTCAGAGCCAAGATGGTGGACTCCCAGTACTACCTCCCAAATGACATTGGTATTTCTGCACTTGACTGTGGCGAAGCCTTTCGTTTGCTCTCACCTCAGGAGAAGATGTATGCCCACAATCTGTCACGAGCTTCTTGGTACGTCTCTAAGGTTGTAGCCAGTCAACGCCGACTTTAAACAGTCGGTAGAGATTTTAACAAAAAAAAGGGTGTTTTGACTGTGGCGAGTCTTAACTGGAGCTAGTAGGATCCATCCAGTTTTGGCTTCTCTCCATTGGCTCCCTGTCAAGTCCAGAATTGAATTCAAAATTTTAATTCTAACCTACAAAGCCCTCAACAACCTAGCTCCATCTTATATTCGAGATCGTATTGTTCCATATTTTCCTAACAGAGCACTTTGCTCTCAGACTGCAGACTTACTCGTGGTCCCTAGAGTTTCCAAAAGCAGTCTGAGGGTCCTACCTCAGAGAATTTTGGATAAAGTAGATGCCATTTCCTGCATTCTGGTGTATTTTACAAAGGTTTATTACAGTAGATTAACATGAAACAAAAGATGTAAACTCATTATTGAAATGACTGCAAAGCGTTTGTAATCCAAAACCTCTGCAGCTCTGCAGGTGAGGGGCGTTCACTTCAGGACAAATTGAATTTGCCGATTTGTCAGTTTCTTAATTGTCAGTTATAAACATCAAGATTAAAAGAAACAAACGTTTGAAATATATCAGTCTGTGTGTAACGAATGAATATACAAGTTTCACTTTTTGAATGGAATTACTGAAATAAATCAACTTTTTCACAATATTCTAATTTTATGATTCTAAATTTACTTTTAATCACTTTATGTGTGATTTATAAGTGTATTAAGCGCAGGATCATTGCTCATTTAATTAGTAGATCCCACACCGGGGTCAGCTGAGCCTCGTCATCCTCCTCCCTGCTCCGCAGCGATTCACACATCAGATTGTTCACAAAAGTGCAGGAACTTATGCATAGTGCAAAACTTTAACTATATTTGTGTGTTTTTAGTAAAATTGCCCATGACTTTGACCTTTTTGGGCCGAAGCTTTTTTTTTTTTTTTTTTTTTTAAGAGCAGAAGCAGAAATGCGAAGGAACAGCTCTGATGTGATATTAAGAAGCTTTGTTTAAAATTATAGTTTTATTTAGTTCATAGTTTTACAGTCACTCTTTGTCAGGCGAGTTGAAACATATGCAGTGATCCTTCAAATGTGCAGACATGGCGCACCTCCTCCTGTCCTCCTGTCTGCTCCTCCACCCAAACCGGCAATGTAGAACCAATCTGCACATGCGTCTAACAGAAACTGAAACTTACCACTTGTGTCCTGATGCATGCTCAATAATCCAGGTAGAAACATCTAAAAACGTTAAGTCTGATCCTCTGGACATTTATTTTTTTGAATGTCCAGAGGACCAGATTTAACTTTTTTAGATTACCACTTGTGTATGTTGACCTGCGTCAAGAGTGAGTCATTGACAGATGTGGAGATAATCCGGTGATTTTTAATTGTGTTTGTTTTTTTTCTGTGGGCCCGGTATAAATTGACCCATGGCCCGGTACCGGTCCACGGCCCGGTGATTGGGGACCACTGTACTAGAGGACAAATTGACCTCATTTCCTTAAATGAATTGTTAAAATTGAATAGTTTTCATTTGATACTATTTCTATCTTAACATGTGATTCTTGACCTGCCATTGTGTATCTGTTCCTCTCAAACCCAGCCGGTCAAAGCAGATGACCGCTTGTTCTGAGCCTGGTTCTGCTGAAGTTTTCTTCCTCATGAGGGAGGTTTTCTTTTCCACTGTCGCCTTCATGCTTGCTCAAAATGAGCGTTCTGCGATGGAGTTAAATTCAAAGCCGTCTGCTCCTCAGACAAATAATGTTAAATTATTATTTTTAATGTATGGATGTTTCTGTTCAGTGCCCTGAGATGACTTCTGTTGTGACTTGGCGCTACATAAATAAACTGAATTGAACTGAATTGTGTTTTAACGAACTGAAGAGTCATTTGCATCCTGATCATGATCTTTGTTAGGTATGGTGGTCTCGCCGTGCTGCTGCAGACATCCCCAGAGTCTGCAAACATCTTTGTCCTGCTGCAAAGAGTCTTCAGAAAGCAGACCCCAGAACAGCTGGAACAGGTTGCTAAAGCAGCTGGTCTCAGCTCTGAGGAGTACCAGGTACACAAACAGTTTCAGTGTTTTTTAATGTGGTTTTCACGCCTTTGTTCCTAAATAAAGCCATAAACGAATGTAAACAAGTTAATTTAATTTAGTTCTGTTTGTGATCTGTAGGCCTTCCTGGTATATACAGCAGGCGTGTATGCAAACATGGGCAACTACAAGTCTTTTGGAGACACCAAGTTCATCCCAAATCTACCAAAGGTAAGAAAACGTCACATGTTGGGTGCAAATCTACTTTGCCTAGATGGTTCCATCTTTAAAAAAATACATTATATGAAATGTGATGCCAATTTAAGCTGCGGTGCATTCATCCAGGACAAGTTGGATGCTCTGATGAGAGCCAGCCAGGCGTTTCAGGAGAACCCCAGTGAGATGGAGGCTCTGTGGGACAGCTGCTCGTGTCTCATGTACTCGCTTGAAGACAGACAGAAACAACTTGGCTTGGGTGACAAGGTGGGATCAAATACAATTCAACACAGATTTTGGGCTTTCCTTCCTTGACTAATAATGTTTTCTAAAGTGAGATTTTTTTCTTATAATAGATTTGACAGCTGTTTGGGTAAAAATGTTTTATGTGCTGTCCTGACTTTTCCTGCACATTTTCTAATAGTTGAGATCGCACCTGCGTTGTCTAAGAGATTTATCTCTTAGGTTCTTTAAACAATTAGTCTTATTAGTTTTTATTTTTTCAATAAGGTTAGTTTGTGAGAAAATTGTGCCTTTTGATGGTTATTCTTAGTTTACTGTGCCCAAATAACAAACATTTGTTGCATCTAAAGCTGTTTTTGTGTGCCTTGGCTGTTTATACTTTTTAACGTCCAAATAAATCTTGCGGTGTTCATTTAGTCCTTTTTTTTTATTTTTAGCCACTTGTATTGAGTTGAGTATTGGGGCGGCTGTGGCTGAGTGGTTAGAGCGGTCGTCCAATGCAAGAGTTGGGGTTCGGTTCGATTCCACCAGCAGTCGCATGCTGAAGTGTCCCTGGGCAAGACACTGAACCCCTCATTGTCTCTCATGTGTCCCATCTGTGTATGAATGCGATCTAAAGCTCTGATTAATCTTTGTAACGATGTAGTAGAGTGCTGTATGAATGGGTAAATGAGGACACCGACTGTAGTGTAAAGTGCTTTGAGGATCTTGATAAGATACAGTGCCTTGCTTAAGTATTCGACCCCCTTGAACTTTTCAACCTTTTGTCACATTTCAGGCTTCAAACATAAAGATATAAAATTTAATTTTTTTGTGAAGAATCAACAAGTGGGACACAATCGTGAAGTGCAATGAAATTTATTGGATGTGTCAAACTTTATTAACAAATAAAAAACTGAAAAGTGGGGCGTGCAATATTATTGGGCCCCTTTACTTTCAGAGCAGCAAACTCACTCCAGAAGTTCAGTGAGGATCTATGAATGATCCAATGTTGTCCCAAATGACTGATGATGATAACTAGAATCCACCTGTGTGTAATCAAGTCTCCGTATAAGTGCACCTGCTCTGAGATAGTCTCAGGGTTCTGTTCAAAGCGCAGAGAGCATCATGAAGACCAAGGAACATATCAGGCAGGTCCGAGATACTGTTGTGGAGAAGTTTAAAGCCAGATTTGGATACAAAAAGATTTCCCAAGCTTTAAACATCCCAAGGAGCACTGTGCAAGCAATCATATTGAAACGGAAGGAGTATCAGACCACTGCAAATCTACCAAGACCCGGCCGTCCCTCTAAACTTTCATCACGAACAAGGAGAAGACTGATCAGAGATGCAGCCAAAAGGCCCATGATCACTCTGGATGAACTGCAGAGATCTACAGCTGAAGTGGGAGAGTCTGTCCATAGGACAACAATCAGTCGTACACTGCACAAATCTGGCCTTTATGGAAGAGTGGCAAGAAGAAAGACATTTCTCAAAGATATCCATAAAAAGAGTTGTTTAAAGTTTGTCACAAGCACCTGGGAGACACCAAACATGTGGAAGAAGGTGCTCTGGTCAGATGAAACCAAAATCAAACTGTTTGGCCACAATGCAAAACGATATGTTTGGCGTAAAAGCAACACAGCTCATCACCCTGAACAAACCATCCCCACTGTCAAACATGGTGGTGGCAGCTTCATGGTTTGGGCCTGTTTATCATCAGCAGGGACAGGGAAGATGGTCAGAATTGATGGGAAGATGGATGGGGCCAAATACAGGACCATTCTGGAAGAAAACCTGTTTGAGTCTGCAAGAGACCTGAGACTGGGACGGAGATTTATCTTCCAACAAGACAATGATCCAAAACATAAAGACACATCTACAATGGAATTGTTCACAAATAAACATATCCAGGTGTTGGAATGGCCAAGTCAAAGTCCAGACCTGAATCCAATCGAGAATCTGTGGAAGGAACTGAAGACTGCTGTTCACAAACGCTCTCCATCCAACCTCACTGAGCTCGAGCTGTTTTACAAGAAAGAATGGGCAAGAATTTCAGTGTCTCCATGTGCAAAACTGATAGAGACAAACCCCAAGAGACTTGCAGCTGGAACTGCAGCAAAAGGCGGCGCTACAAAGTATTAACACAAGGAGGCCGAATAATATTGCACGCCACACTTTTCAGTTTTTTATTTGTTATAAAAGTTTGACACATCCAATAAATTTCATTCCACTTCACGATTGTGTCCCACTTGTTGTTGATTCTTCACAAAAAATTTAAATTTTATATCTTTATGTTTGAAGCCTGAAATGTGGCAAAAGGTTGAAAAGTTCAAGGGGGCCGAATACTTTCGCAAGGCACTGTAGAAAGGTGCTATATAAGTACAGTCCATTTACCATTTGTTACTTTTTTATATTTGGTTGGTGGTCTATTATCATTATCATTTTTGATGGTTTTTAACATGTATTGTAAATAAATCTAGATTTTTGAGTCATAGGGAGCCACTGAACACAACTGGTAATCCCCTCCTTCCCCCATGAACGGTTTTGTGATTTGAGCATCTTTGATTTTCTTTTCTCTTCTAGGGAATTACCACCTATTTCTCAGGGAACTGCTGTCTGGAGGATGCAGAGCTGGCTCAGAGGTTCTTAGACTCAAAAGTAGGCAAATTTATAGCTAAAGCAAACGATCATGTTCAAACCATTCTAGTCTTTCTCCTAAGTTGCATTCTTTTTTTCTTTTTTTTACATTTTTTGTTTGTTTACTCGCTTAATCCTAATCATTAAGCTGGTTTAGGCATTTCTCCGTTTGACTGACCACTTTCTTGTTTGTTGTTTCCAGAAACTCTCTGCTTACAACACGCGTCTGTTCAAGAAAGACGGTGGAGGGAAACCCTGTTATGAAGTGAGATTGGCTTCAGCTGTGCAGAAAGGTCAGAATGAGCGTAAAGCGTCTGACACACATCGCATCCAAAATGTCACATAACGAGTCAGGCAGGACACTTTAATTTGAGAATGGAAACGCAGCAGATCGACTAACTTAAATGATTAGTTTGTGTAAGTAGCTGATGATCCTCGTTGATTAAATATTGATATAAATTATTACTTTGCAGACTGTGCAGTAGATGGGGAGTGTGAGTCTTGCTTCGGCACCTTCAGCTTTGAGGACAAAGAGTTTATTGTGAAGAGGGGAGATTATCATCCAATTATGGAAAAAGTCTGTTATTACCTCCAACAAGCACAGGTAAGTAACTGCCAAGGAACTGGTGGAAAATAACAAAACATTTTTGTTGTTTAAAACAGGATTTATAAACAGTTTAAAGTAAATGAACCGTCTGTCAAAATCCAGAGCAGATGTGTAAAGGAAAAACATAACTCCCTAAGTGAGTACTGATAGTTTCTAGCATTTATTTTTTAATACCAAATTCAAGTTTATCTAAAAGTGTTAGTCTTTTTCGTAAATTTTCACACAAACAAATCTAGTGTTTAAAAAAAGACTAAAGCACAACCTACATGTAGTGTTTTTTGTGCAACTGAACAGAAACTTAATAGAAATATCCTGATGCATGCTCAATAATCCAGGTAGAAAAATCCAAGAAAGTTCAATCTGGTCCTCTGGACATTCAAAAAAACAAAACAAAGCAAAAATAGAAATACATTATAAAAGTTTTAGGGCAAAATCTTTGCTAAAATAATCATAACACGTAAAAATGTCAGTTTCATATCAAAGTCGTGATGTTGAGTCAACTTGTTTGTGCATCCCTGAGTGAAAACAACAGTTCATTTGACACTATCATCTCCATACTCAAAAGAAAATAAATTGTAAGACAAACAAGTATATTTAAAAGAAAACTGTATTTCAGTCATAGGCCTGTTGCGATAAACATTAAATCAATTAATCGCATGATTAATGAAAATTATCTACCTCATTTTCATCGGCTTTATCGTTTCTTCGTGTCTCTCTCTTTCTACTGAAGACACTGGATGACAAAAAGCTCAACTCCAGTGCTCTTCACTGACCCCTCCCTTTCTCTTTTCTCTTTAAATCCATTTTAACCGTCCAAAATCGCATTTTTGTATCGTTAAAAGCAGCTAAGCTGAGAAGCTAAGCTACAAGCTAAGCTAACAGGCCGACCTCTGGGGAAAAAACCTCCGTCTTGTCAAAGCTCCAAAATTCACGGTTGAAACCCGTGCCTTCATGTAAAAAGTTTTTCTCTGCAAAAAGAAGCTGAGAACTTGTTTACTAATTTTTTTATTAAAAGCTTTGTGTGAAAAATGCTATGCTAAAGAGCTCAAACCACACTGAGCGTCTGCTATTTTGAGAACTGAAGAGAGACAGCCCATGTCACATCAAGGGGCCTCTCTCCCATTTTTCTTAGAGACACGCTGCTCGCTCCCTCACTATCCATCCTTCGGTTTAAACAGTCTTATAATCCCATCCAGTGGTCAAAAAAAGGTACTACACACAAACATTAACCAGCATTTATTCTTAAATTTTACAATAATTACTAATTCTTGTAAGATTTCAAACAATATTATCGTTTATCTCAATAATTTTTTAGACAATTAATTGTCCAGCAAAATTTGTTATCGTGACAGGTCTATTCAGCCACAATAGTGTCTTAAAATTAACATTTGAATCAATTCATTTTGGGCTTTTTGGATAGAGCCTACTTTATTCATTAATACATCAAATAACAGAAAATATTTTTTGCTGCCATTCCTGTGATTCTTGGTTTTATTTAGTTCTTTACTTTTCAACAGGCCTATGCTGCCAATGAGAACCAAAAGAAGATGCTGGAACAGTACCAGCGCAGTTTCACTCTTGGATCTATTGAAGCTCACAAGGAAGGCTCACGATACTGGATCAAGGACAAGGGACCAATTGTTGAGAGGTGATCCACACCACTAAGATACAATACTGACCACAAGCACCTTAAATAAGAGATACTGCAACATTAGCATTGTTTTAATCTCGCTTTTTCTTGGTTCACTTCCTCATAAAGTTCACTGCAGAGACCTTTGTTCTCTGTATTCAGAGCTACCCTTCTGATTAACCACCGAAACCTTTTCCCTGCTCTTTAGCTCCTAACTTTTCTCTCTCTTTCTCCCAGTTATATTGGGTTCATAGAGAGCTACAGAGACCCATTTGGCTCCAGAGGAGAGTTTGAAGGTAAATGACAAGTTGATGACGAATAACAAAATACCATATTTTTCGGCCTATAAGTCACAGTTTTTTGCATAATTTGCATACCCTGCGACTTATAGGCCGAAGCGACATATTTATGGATTTTTTTCCCGTATTTATAAACTAATTTTTGGCTGAGATTTGACCATTTTCATTCATTCTGACTGAAAAAGAAAATTGAGCAGTACCACTTTCAACCACTTGATGGCAGCAGAGTAGTAGATGTAAGGCATGCTGTTGTATCATGTAATAGGTAAACATGGCAACAATGACAAATTCAAAGAAGTTTAAGACAAAAACAACTGGACTTTATTTATTATACTTTATTGTTTTGTTTTTTTTCCTTGGACTTTTTTGAATTTACCATGTCCTGGATGACTGAGAATCTTCACCAGCTATTAATGATACAATCGGCTTGTCACACCATCGTTCTGCTCGGTGCTTGGAGGAAGTCGAACCAGCTTCACCTCCCCGGCAAAATGCAGCTAATTTGGCCGTCAAAGTGTATTTATTAAGCAAACGTTGGCCTGAGACACACATTTACTATAATTTCAAGCAAACAAATAATTGTTTTTAAGTGTTAATCTTGTTAAATTCTTGTTAAAGTCCTCCTGTGCACGCCACAGCGGCCACCATTTGGCAACCAATCAATTTTTGGCACAACACCGGCCCACATTTCCAGGTTGTCAGTGGTGACGCGTAACAAACGCGACGCGTCAGTGGTGACGCATAATAGATGTGACGTATACGGCGAAGCGACATATTTATGGATTTTCCACTTTATTAGACAAATATCGACTGATGCGATTTATAGGGCGAAGTGGTGTGTGCGGCGGAAAATATGGTAATGCATGTGAATTAGGCCCAAGTTCTTCAGTGAAGAATTTAGAAAAAAATAAGTCCTTGAACAGAGAAGTGCACATTGTATTGGATAACTCAATTTTATTTCTCTTTTTCAGTGATTGCAATGTTTTGGAACTGTTTTCAAATAAATATACAAGTTGAGACTGCTTTCGAAGCTGCTTCGAGTGTGTCAGTTTCAGAAATGGGGTTCAGATTAATTAAATTTTTACCGTTGATGTGTGACGCGAGTAAAAATAAATACTTGCTGTGCAAATATAAATCGCAAAGTACTTTATGAGTGAACAGAGGAAAAATGGCCGTTTGGACAATTTGCATGAATTAGCCGCCCGTGTGTTGTGATGTGTTTAGGCTTCGTTGCGGTGGTGAACAAGGCGATGAGCGAACGTTTTGCCAAGTTGGTGAGTTCTGCAGAAGTCCTGCTCCCTGAGCTGCCTTGGCCCCAGGAGTTTGAGAAAGACACGTTCCTCAAACCTGACTTCACCTCGCTGGACGTCCTCACGTTCGCCGGGAGTGGAATCCCAGCTGGCATCAACATCCCAAACTGTACGTTGATCAGATTATAGCTTAAGTAATGTCAAAGATGCACACCATGTTACTGGGATTCATGGTTTTTTTTAAATGCATTTATTTACAATTATTTATTTTTTGTTTGTTTATAGATGATGACATCAGACAGTTGGAAGGATTTAAAAATGTGTCTCTTGGTAACGTGCTAGCTGTAGCCTACGCTACGCAGAAAGAGAAACTCACCTTCCTTCAAGAGGAGGACAAGGTTTACAGCCTCCCGTCACCTTATTTTCTGTAATTATTCATCCTCCAGTGTTTGATTTAGGTACAATATGTTTTATTTTGCTTTAGGATTTATTCATCAAATGGAAGGGCCCTTCCTTCGAGGTGCAGGTTGGACTCCATGAGCTGTTGGGCCATGGAAGTGGGAAGCTGTTTGTCCAGGTCAGTCCAGCACAACATAACTTTACACCAAGATCAACCCATTTTCTTCATCTAGTTTGTGAATAGAAGAGTTAGCGTCTACTTCTCTTTGGTAACTGTTTTGCCTCAGGATGACAACGGCAAGTACAACTTTGATCAGAGCAAGGTGATCAACCCAGAGACAGGGGAGCTGGTGAGTTTCTGTTCATCTCCACCAACATGTCTGACTTTTAAGATTAGACCAAAACGGTGACTTTTATGACTTTGCCTCTCAGGTGTCGACTTGGTATCGGGGAAGTGAGACGTGGGACAGCAAATTCTCCACGATCGCCTCTTCTTATGAAGAATGTCGCGCAGAATGTGTCGGCCTCTACCTGTGCCTCAACAAACAAGTGTTGAGGTGAGCAAGAATTTTAATATGAGTAAAGAAAGATAAAACTTGAGAAATTACATTTCCTGTGAAAATGTGGTGCGAGTGCTCATTGAAGAACTTGTTGAAAAACAGCTGAAATTAGCTAAAAATAGCTGATAAGGCAGAATGAAGCATAAACTACCAGAAGTGGAAGGAGGTGAAACGAGCTAAAAAAAAAAAAGTGGAATTAGCTGAAAAAGCTAATTTTAGCACAAAACAGCTAAGTAGTAGCTGAAATAGCAGAAAAAGCTGAAACTAGGAGAAATAAGCTTAAAGGAGCATAACGAGCTGAAAAAAGTAGTTGAAAGAAGTTAATTTATCTGAAAACAGCTGAAATTGGCTAAGAAATGCTTAAAACTTAGCTGAAAAGGTAGAACAAGCTTAAATTAGCAGAAAGAAGTGGAAAGAGCACAATGTTTCGTATTAGGCTGAAAGAAACAGGAATGAGCACAAAAAAAAGGAATTTATCTGGAAAAAGTTGAAATTACAAAAAAAAAAAAAAAAACAGCCAGCTGAAAAGTAGCTAAAAAAGCATAAAGAAGCTTAAACTACCACAAGGAAGTAGAGTGAGCACATTTTTTGCTGAATTAGGCTGAAAAAAGTTAAAGTGCAAAAAAATGTGGAATTGGCTGAAAAGGCTAAAATAATAAAACAGCTAAATAGTATCAGAAATAAGCTGAAAGGAGCATAACAAGCTGAAATTAGCAGGAAAAATCTTTAAAAGATCACAAAACAACTGGAAAAAAAGCTAAAATTATCTGAAAGTTCCAGTAGCTGAAAAAAGTTTATATTTCCATAAGGAGGCTGAAAGAAGTTGAACCAGAACAAAATGTGAAATGAGCAGTAAAAGGTTGTAAACAGGTCTAAAGATGTGAAGGATGTAAAATGAGCTCAATTCATTTTCTATGAGAACAAAAGTGGCAGAAAAGGCTAAATATTTGAAAAAGCTAAAGTTGCACCAAAACCAAAAGTCATAGCATTCTTCTGAACGAGCTGAACTTTTTTCCTATGATTTGTTGAAATAGCACAAAAATTGTGGAACAAGAAAGATCCTGAAAAACGTACAAAAAAAAAGGATCACAATAGTGTGAATGATTCATAAGCGCTCACACTATCAAGTTATTTTGAGGTAAAATGGCAGGTTTTGGTGTACGAATGCCAAAAGGCTTGTAACCCTGATATCTTTTTAAATAAATGTCTTCAGCTGATTATTCTATTAAAATGTTTCAAATAGTGAAAGTCCTAAAAGAGGCCTGTGTGTGTCTGACCCAGTATTTTTGGCCATGAAGGCCAGGATGCAGAGGATGTGGTGTACATCAACTGGCTGAGCATGGTCAGAGCTGGACTCTTGGGCCTGGAGTTCTACACACCTGAGCGCAAGAGCTGGAGACAGGTAATTGGTGCACTCTGCCGTGTACCTGGAGTTACTCTTAGTTTGATTTATTAACATGACTGCATGTAAATGGACATTTAATCCTTTGAGGTTTTAAACAAAGCAACTTCTTTGTTTAAAAGCTCTTAGGATTACAGGTTCACCAAACCTGAGGGTGTTTACATGATGTGTAGCTCACAGATTATTAATCACGCGTCTCTTATGTTCCCACATGATTAGTTGGTTGTATCTGTATTGTTTCACAGTTAGCTTACAGTACGTCTGCCTCTATATTTATATAGTTGTCAGAACCTGAAGTCACATTTGTCTTTTTTTTATTTTTTTATTGCGTCAGGCTCACATGCAGGCCCGTTTCGTCATCCTGTGTGTTCTGCTGGAGGCCGGAGAGGGCCTGGTGGGCCTGGAGGAAGTGACGGGCCAGGACGGCAAGCCTAACGCACAGATCACACTGGACCGGAGCAAGATCCACACTGTGGGCAAGAACGCCATCCACAGATTCCTCTGTAAACTGCAGGTACGTTCAGAACACCAAATACTAAAAGAAGCAGTCCTGAAAAACATATAGGTTCAACAGAGATGTGATAAATAAGTTCACCCTTTTTATTTTATTCAATAGTGAAAGCTTTTATAAGTAGTTTTTTGTGCATTATAATGTAAACCCAAGATGTTGCCTTCTGACCCTGTGGGAATTTATTTTACTTTATTTTTTTTTATTTTTTAACAAATCAGCACATTAAAACAGATAATCTGTAGAAAAAAAGTCTAAATATTGGCTTTAATGAGCTGGTATTCATGCATGAGTGTCACTATAGATTAAAAAAAATTGTTGGTTGACGGAAAATTCAGCGAAAAATCCCAGATTTTCTGACTTTGACATGTATTTTTGTCATACTTACCAGGAAATACAACTGTTTCCTGAGCATAACTTATAATTTTTAGGACGTAAAAGGTAACCGTTTTCTGAGACTACAGTAGTAATTTACAAAAAGGACATCTGGATATTTTCTAATAAGTAATCCATCGCTTCAAACCGAGGATTAAGTCCCTGTGGCGCATTGCTTGAAAAATTAGCGATAATTAGATTGACATAATCTGATGATTAAATACTGTATCTAATGGTCCCTTGAATGTAATGTCCAAAATATAACCCTACAGAATGTTTTGAAGCATTTTTCTAATCGGTACCAACAACCAATGAAGATTTTGAACAGAAAAGCAAAAACTTGGTGCAACTTTTTTTAAGTCTTTAATCCTGGAAAATTTTACTTTTTTCCCCCCACAAATAAAACTTCACAGTCATCTTGTAAACTTGTGATTAGTTTCTGAAAATTAAATATTTTTTCTTGCAAAACTAAGTATTTCTGACAAAAGACAATGTACAAGTTTTTTCACATAATTATCGCGATTTGTGTTATTTTTAATGTTTTGGCTCCGCCCACCAGCTCCTTTTTATTGTTTTTTTTTGTAATGATCCAAATATGCAGCCAGTCAAGAGACAACCTGCTGTTTCTGCCTTGGTATAAAAGCTTCATGGAGTGTTTGGCCTGATCCCACCTGTCTGTAGGTCTTGAAGTCAACAGCTGATGTGGACGGAGGCAGGGCTCTTTACGAAGGTTACTCCACCGTCAGCGACTCGGGCGCGCACAGCTTCCTGCGACTGCGTGAGACCGTGCTGCTGAGGAAGGAGGCTCGCAAAATGTTGGTCCAGGCCAACACCAGAGTCAGTGGTACGTAGCTGCGCTTCAGCCACGAGTTTGTTAGTTGCGCTCAGCTGGTGTTTGACTGTGTGTGGTTTCCAGGGGAGAGCGCTGAGCTGCTGGAATACGAAGGCAGCGCGGCGGGTTTGATTCGCTCCTTCGCCGAGCGTTTCCCAGACGACGCAGAGCAGGTGGAGGCCGACCTGCTGGAGCTGAGCAAAAGAGACGCCGCCTTCTGGTGCTGATGGATTATCTGCTGCACAGGTTTCTAAAAACAAACCGCTCAAATCTCATTTAAAGGGGTTTAAAAAGGCAGTAGGAAGACTAAGTAAACCTTCAAATAAAGCCATGGGAATCAAAGAAGTTTGTAACAGCTGGCAGTGACGCGTTCTGTACGCGTGTTCATTTAATCGTTGCTCCAGACACAAACTAATGAACCGATTATTAAAACGCCTCATTTAGGAAACGGGAACAAACTGTCGACCTCGAACTGATCAAAGGATTCTGGAGTAAAAAATACTAAAACGAATCTTGACAAAAGAGTCCCATAATGTTTTGTTTTTACCTTAGTGATGTGGCTGAACTGATTCTAAAAATTTAATTTCAATGTTTGTGCATCCTTCGTGTTGATTTGACAGTTTTTTACGGTTAACTGGCGATTAAACATGGACAGGGAAAATAAAACGACATTTTCTGCCTTTTTCTTTTTTCAGATTTCATAAAACTCTGTACGAAATGTGATATGAGTCAAGATGAATAAAATGCGTTTGATTAAAAACTTTGATATTTCATTAGTCATAAAACATCTTTCTTCATTTTTCATATATTCAGTTTGACTTTCAGTGTATTTTAATGTTAGCGTTTAGTCATAGATGCACATCCACTGACTACCTTTTGGAATATTCAAGATGGCCGCCACAGCTATGTAACTGTAGCAACATAAGTGTTCATAAATTAGCCAGTTTTTACAGATATTGGGCTAAAATTTGGTGTGGTAGTAGCTGAGACTGATCCCAAACATACTGAGCGCTAACTGATCAAGCAACATGTTTATGAAACTGCAATTAAATAAGGTTCAAATGTGTTTGTTAGCAAAATATTTCATGAATCAGTGGAGAGATTTTAATGAAACTTTTCGTTGGTTTTGTGTCTACAACTGCTGTACTTTTGGTGTTAACCCAATTCAAGATGGCCACCACAGCCAAGAAAGCACAAAAATGACCACAACTGTCAGTTTTACAGGTTCAGAGATAAGATTTGTTGTGGTAGCTGAGTCATCAACACATTCTGAGTGCTAACATGTCACAACATCGTTTACAAGGTTTGACCAAAACAGCTGGAACACGGTCTCGTATCAGCCGAAGATTTTAGTTTAAAACTCAACTGCATTCCCTCAAGAAATACTAGGCCTTTAATCTTTAAAAGCGTGTCATTGTGCAGAAATGGTTCAATTTAATCAGCAAATAGAAGAGCCTAGCCTTTACAAAAAGTCTGACTAGGTTTGGATTGTGGTGTTTGTTTATTCAAGAACACTGCTTTTTCTAACTCAGTGGTTCCCAACCCTGGTCCTTGAGGAACACCATCCTTCACGTTTTAGTTGTTTCCTTGCTCCATCACACCTGATACAGTGATTTGATTACTTCATCCAGTTCTGTAGAAGCCTGTTAATCACCCATTTATTAAAATCAGGTGTGTCAAAGCAGGGAAACAACTAAAACGTGCAGGATGGTGTTCCTCAAGGGTCAGGGTTGGGAACCACACAATTGTTTGACCTTTTGGTGCAAAAATAAAAAATTCAGAGGTAAAACAATACTGGAAACAGTTCAATGTCTACAATTGAGGTCCTAGAAATTTCTTATGATAAAAAAAAAAGTTTTGTATTTAAAATATATATACACAACTTGAACCAAACGCTCTTGATGTAATTCACAAAGACGTTACGTTTGTTCGCTGGAGGCTTGAACTGTGGTTTGTTCGCTGGCTGAAGGAGGCGAAGTTTCTACTGCTTCCTCAACATCACCGCTCAAACTGCCAATCTCCATTTCTTCAAGACGCGCAGCGCTCATCCGTAGCGCCACGCTTTCTTCCTCATTCAAATCCTCTTCATCGTCCTGATTTCTATCTGTGAGCAGCTCCTCCCCCGATTCCCTCTCTGCTCCTGAAGGAGCAGCAGGTGTGCGGCAAAACAGGTCTGTCAGCGGAGAGGAGGGCGGGGAGGGGACGGGAGAGCGGGATGGAGAGATGCTGGGCGAGCGGTTTGGGGAGAGAGACGTAGGAAGTTTAGGAGACAAAGAAGGAGACTGATAAGGAGAGGGGGAATCATGAGAAGAGAGTGAGGGAGAACATTTTTGGGAAAAAGGAAGTGCCTTGGGAGAAACAGACGGTGATTGGTAAGGAGAGAGTGAGTGGGAGTTGATCACTGGAGGAGTCATGTATTCATCTAAAAGTTGCTCCTTTATTGCTGGAAGCTGAGCTGAGGTGTCTTCCTCTCTGACTCCTGCTTTGTTTTGGTCTGTTTCGGAGCCTGCTTGCTCCTCCTCCTCCTGCGTCTCAAACAGGAAGTAAGGAGCTCCTGATGGATTCTCCTGTTTCTGAGAATCATCAGCTGCAGCTTCACTAGGCTGAGCGGCTTCTTTCCCCACCTTTTTGACTTTACACCTCCCTTTGGTTTTGGGCATGAGTGGCGGAGGAGGTGGCGGAGCGAGCGGAGGTGAAAGTTGGGTCAACGTCTCCGTGGAAACCCGAACTTTGAGGCTGCGTTTGAACATGTGCCGTCTGGACAAGGCGTTCTGAGACTGCAGGAAGAGAGGGTTGATGAAGCAGAGCGCGCCCTGGCCAGAGCCGCAGTCCAGCTCTCTGGGGCTGCGCGTCGTGATCGGGCAAAACTTGTGGAACAAAGTGGCACTTGGGTCAGATTTTTTATCATTGGTGTCCGATTCGGGCGCAGCTGGAGGATGGTTGTCTGGATTGGGTGAATCTGGCTGGGGTGGAGGTGACACTGATGTTGCAACATCTCGCTCCTTCTCATCTTTCCTGGTCTTCGGTGTCTCCCGTGGCCCTCGGACATTTAAGTGGGAGCTCCAGAACTCTGCAAAACAGTTAAAAAGTTACCGACACTTTTTGTTTCTTACAGTCAAGTTGCTATGACTTCTGCAGCATTAATTAAAGGCCTAGCATTTTCTTGAAGGGATGCATATCACCCGCTACTTCTCCCACCAGATTTTTAGACTATCGTCTTACACAATCACAGAGTTGTGGCTGTTTTGCTCCAGTCTTGAAAATAACACAGATCTGATGTATCACAAGATGTCACTCAGAATGTGTTTATAAATGACTCACTACTACTACCACCACATCAAGTTTTAGCTCACTATCTGGAAAGCTGACAAAGCTATAGCCATTTTTGTGTTGGTTATTGTCAGTTAGCTGAGGCAGCCATCTTAATTTGAATTTATGCTAAAAGGTAATAGGCATAGCTAACAATTACTTTTTGAAGGTTTCATTGAAATACGTCATCAGTATGTTGCCGTTTCTGTGCTTGAGTTTTTTTTTTCCACAAACTATACTATGCTGTGCTACACTAAGCTAGCATCACAATGGGGTCGCTCTTGTGTCACGTCACCTTTAATGGTGCAGACTTGCGCCCTCTTATATTAAGGGCTTTCCACCTTGTATGCATCGTGACTAACCTCTGACTCGTGGTGTCAGTTTACAGCCAATAACAGAGACTTCTATATAAATGCTAAACTTGAACAGCACATTAACAAGAACACTCCATTTCCACACTCAGAAACATTGCACACATTATTGCCACAAGGCTACCCAGCATTAGAGAAAACTTTGAGTCTGGGGGAGAGTGAGTTGAATGGAGATACACATCTTTGCTTTAATCTGGGGCATACAGTTATGTCTTTTAGTGCTAATATTACTTAATTATAAGAACGCAATTAGCAAACACTAGAAAAGCTGCTTGTTCCCTCTCTCCCTTTCATGGTGCAGGGAGGGCGGTATCAGTGACAGCTGTACACAGTGTGCGTCAGAGACAGCCTACCTTTGGTGGTCGGGCTGGCCAACGCTTGAAAAAAAACAAACTAAAAACACGGAACTGCGGCTCAATAATGTGATGTGTGCAACGGCCCACTTGCTGGATTAAACAAACAGCTTGATTACAGAGAGAATATTGACGATGATGCATAGCGACTTTTGTAGTTAACCACAAAAAGTATACCAAAAGTGAGTTTAATTAATTTAGTTTAGTGAATGACACGACGGAAATGTCTGACACACATTGAATGCATCACTCTTCACTTCAGCCCAGCAGAGTTCTGCGCCGCCTCATTTAGGTCCGCTTGACTCACTTCTTTTCTGAAAGCTCACCCGTGAGCAGGACGTGGACGCTACACCTGCGTTTTATGAACCGTTAGAGGATCGACTGGTCTGTGCAGCCATTTCACTGAACTGTCTTTTAATTTAGCCTAACATTTGGCATGCGGGAGAATAGCATCATGTCGGTCATTCGGTCGACATTTTTTCATTTTGAAAAGCGTACACCAGTTTTTGACATGCCCCCTCAGAGTACGATTTGTACGCTTGTGAAATAAAAAAATAAAAAAAACACATTGCATCACCCCTCAATTATAACCATTTCTTCATTTATGTGGTGACCATCTTAAATGGGGTGGGCTCCAAATGTTTATCAGTTGTAGAGGTACAAACAATAGTTATTTCTAGTTAAGTTTCATTACAATCTCTCCAGTGGTTCATGAGATGTTTTGCTAACAGACACACTGATCAAAAACATCCTCTGCCTTCATCTTTCCCTGGCAGGCGATAATGAAAAGCTTCATAAATATTTGATAAGTAGACAAACGTCAAAGCGCGGAGCTTCACACGTTTTCTCCTCCGTGTAGCGAGAGGTCGTTTTGAAATGCATGGTATAGAAGTGAGTCAGAGATAAATCTCTTCTTTAAATCCTGAGGTGATTAAAGTTTAGATTACAAAATCTGCTGTGAAGAAATAAATAAACAAATCTCTCACCGATTCCCATATGAGAGATGGACTCCAGCTCCTTATGCGAAGCTGCTTTAGCGATGGCTTCAGGAAGCTCCAGAGGGAAAGGCAACACATCTCTGAAATAATACTGGATTAATGAGAACAGAACAACTCAAATAGTAAAATTATATTTGTTACAAATAAAATAAACTGAAAACAAACTTGACTTTCTTTACCTGCTGACACAGTAAAATGACAGAAGTCTTGGGAGATCTGGAAAGCTGATGGCTGAAGTCTCCAGAGACAGAGTTACTGAATAAAAATAAAATGTAGAGACATTACTCTCTTTGAAACGGGGAGGGGGGGGGGGGGGTTGTGCTGTATGTGGTAAATATGTTATAATGTGTGATAACAAGTAAAATGTTCAAAATGAAAAATAAACTCTGCGTGCTCTGTGAGATGATCTTCTTACTGGACTGTTCCTCCCTGATGCCAAACTGCTGAACGAAGGATGGCACGCTGACGTCCGCCAAACGAACACAAAGCACTTTTCTTTGGGACGTGCGGGACTTTCTCACCAGGAACGTCTGTAGCACGACACAAGGGGTTTACTGAAATGGAGGTGTGAATCATCAGGCAGGGGTCCACTCTGCTCAGTGTGTATGAGAGGAGGATAATGTGTCTGTGGTTCTGACCCCGGGAGGCTCTCTCTGCAGGATGTGCAGTGCTGTGGCATGGTTGATTGACAGCTGGAGCCAGACGGGAACCGTAAGCAGGAGGCGGTCCAGCACGCTGATGCTTCTTAGGGACCCCCGTCCCCTTTGAGGACACAGCAGCTTGCGTTGACACGACTTTGCGGGCTCTGGGAAATCATACAGAGGCTCCTCCTGCTGAGCCATCTAAACACAAACCAAAGATGTGACACGTCACACGGCCCCACAGTGAGACAAGTGGTGGTTGTGTGTCTCAGTCGGGGAGACGGAAGAGACGGCTGCAGAGACACACACCTGCAGAGCAAATCTGCCTGAATCTGGACAGCAAGTCCAGACTTGGTAAACTGCAGCAGCTCAGACAGAGCTTAAATGAAATGGCAACTTTTACAGGCAGAGCTTCAAACCAAAGACACAAACACTAAGATGCCACATCCGAACATTAGACAGGACCAGAGAAATGGCATTTTCTGTAAAAATACAGAACAAATGCTGAAAATACCCGAAGAAGTTAAAACTCAGTTGTAAAAGCTAAAAGACGCAAAACAGTATGTAAACTAACATGAGCAAAGTAATAGCTAAAAGCTGTAAAAGGCTATCCAAAATTAGCAAAATGGAAACTAAAACCCAAAAGTAGCAAAAGGCTAGCTAAAAAATAATTGCTGCAAAAGTATAACTAAATGTAGCAAAAGGCTATCTAAAATCAGCCATAATTAGAAGAATGATAGCTTAAAGCTCAAAGAAGCAAAAGGCTTGCTAAAAACGTAACTGAAGCAAAAGGATAACTAAAAGTAGCAAAAGGTAGTAGAAGCTTTGTCAAAATTAGAAGAAATATAATATAAAGCTCAAAATAACAAATGCCTAGCTAAAAGGATGGCTAAAAGCTAACTGTTGCAAAAGGATGGCTAAAAGCTAATTGTTGTTAAAGTATATTAAAGTAGCAAAAGGCCAGCTAAAAGGAGTAAGGCTAGCCAAAATTAGAATGATTGAAGTGAATAAAAGATTGGGAAATTGAAAGATAGTTGTAATATAGAATATTTACTTTTATGTAGATATGTAAATTCCCCAACCAAAAAATAAACTATATTAGAATGATAGCTAAAAGCTCAAAGTAGCAAACAGCTAGCTAAAAGTCTTAGGTTGCAAAAGGGTAGCTAAATAAAGAAAAACTTAAACAATAAAAAGTTGAACAGAATGTTAGATAAACTATAAAATAGCCCAAAATGATAACTAAAAGCAAAACGTAGAAAAATGCTAATTGTAGCAAGTTTAGCTAAATGTATCAAAAAGGCTCACCAAGTTTAGCAAAACAATAGCTAAAGTAGCTCAATAAGCAAGAAGATTTCAAATTACAATGTATTTCTATTGAAACATTTGTAAATAAATTTAAATATTATAAAAAAAACTATGAAAAAATACCAATCTCCTGGATGAGCTGAACGTTTTGATCTATGAAAGGCTATAAAACTACACAAAAATGTGAAAAAGTAGGCCACTTGGGTTGCAAATAAATGTACGGAGAAAATGGAAAAACAACCGTGTTAAAATAGCATTCATACAACGTGTCCAGATTTATTCGTCTTCATATTTATTCTGCAGTCATATAAACTCTTTCCCAACATATTTCTAGGTGTGCAACATGCATTCCTGTCAAAATGTGTTGACCACAACCTGTTCTTCCATTTAACGTCGTTCGGTTTTATTCATGTTTTTACCGGGATGATGTTTGTTTGCTTACCTTTTTCTGCCCTGATCCTTATTCCCTCCCGGCCCACCTCATATTCCGTCTTCTTGCTCCAATTTTACAGAGTAAAAAAGTTAACTTCTTTTCTGCTACCCCGACCTGTCATGACGTGCGTTCAAACACCTACAGCAGAGCCCTACAGATGTCTTTCTACAGGCTCCTCCTCCTTCCTGCTCACCTGATCGCACCTGGAGTGTGTCATCTCACCACGCTGGATGCTAACTACATGCTTGAGACTAGCACATGTCTGCAGCAAAAACAGACACGAAACGAAAAAACAAACAAACATGTAACATGTTGCAAGCCAACAAACTGCATTTTGTCACAGTTATAAAAATATATATCTACTAACCAAGTGAAACAGCGCCCCCTGACGGTCACTACTGCAAAAACACGGGGTCGGTGTTGTGTCGAAAAAAGAGACCCCTGTCGTACGGTTGCGCCACCATCACGGAGAGCTCGTTTATGTTTTGTGTCCACTAACAAATAAGAAAGAGAAATGTGACAAACGGACTTGTGCTGTTAAATAAACTAAAAAAAAACAACACATAACCTATTGAGATATGTACCTCGTTTTTTGATAGAAGGAGTTCACAATATCTTGCCGGGGGTGTGTGAATGGCAGCCTAACCACCCATACAAAGCAGTACATATAAATTAAAATATAGATAATATTTAAATGATAAGTCAGCTTACTATTTTTCTCTTTCACTCAATAAAAGTGCGCAAACTATGCCCATACTACAGCATGGGGTGTGTTTTACAGTGGGGCGCTTTTTTCGGTACAACACCGGAGCCGGATGTGAGGTACTATAGATTTCAGGGCCTCGTTAGGTAAGTCGTCTGTGTTCCATGTTGCTTTAATTAAACCTTTTTTCCTACTTTCAGTATTAATCTGAAAACGTCATTTTGTGTGTGAGTGTGCCTACCTTTACCTCGGTGTACTCTGAGAGCTTTAGCTTTGATTAAAAAAATGGCAGCCACGTTGATAAAACCGCAACGGCTGGCCTTTAGCTAGCCTTGCTAACGCTACATTGTTAACGTTGCAAGATGGCTAATGTGAGGTTTTTTTTTTTAGCCAACTGTTAGATCGTCTAGGTGGATTTATATTTCTTGTACGACACCGTATTATTTTATATATGTGCTTTTTGTTTGATGTTAACTAACCTCGCGGACTCGAATACTACTAGCCCAACCGAAACTGCGTTTTTTCCCGTTTTTCACCGCGAAAGTTAACGCATGTTAGCTTGATAAACTTGTCATTATGGCTGTACATTGACGCAATTTCTTAAAATAAATAACATATTTTGGTCTTATGAATATAAATCAAAGGATAAAAATAAAAAAAAACATGGTAAGAGTGTCAAAATTCGGACATTACTTGATATACAATTTGGGCTAACCCTACTGTCGTGGCTAGGTTAGCTGCTTGTGTCAATTTAGCAATTAAACTGTTTTCTTAATTCTGATTATTTTTCTTTTTTTTTCGCAGATGTCTGGTTGATGTAAAAATGACTGACCACGTGAAGTTGTTTGTGGGGAACCTTCCTTTAGATGCAACCCAAGATGAGCTGAATAAACTTTTTGCTCCTTATGGAGAGATCAACACATGCTCGTTGCTCAGACAGTATGCTTTTGTTACCCTGAAGGGAGAGGGGGCCGCAGACAGGTACACAGCTGTCCCTGATCAAATTATTCTTTTCCTCTCTTTAAACTTATATCTTTGAGATTATGACCGTGAAAAAAAACATTAGGCAAAAATACCACGATTTCACAGTATTAAAACAATTACTTTGAAATGCATAACGTTATTTATTTTAGTTTATTCAAAACAAAAGTGCACTATTTTGCCTCTTAAATAATATAACATAATGTGTCCTGGTATAATCTTTAAGCCAAAAATGCTGTCAAAGCATGTGATTTTTCAGTTTGAAATTTTTGTACATCTATGATTAATTGATAAATATGCATAATTCGCTACCAAAAGTACAGCAGAGTTTGTAAGAAATGGGCAAAATCAGCAGTCAGGTTTTGTTGCCAACAATTAAGTGTAATTTGTTTTTACATTTTTTGCATCTCGGTGCGCATCTGATATTGATTTAGTAAAATAATCCCCAGACTTGAACAGAACCAGGGAGAGCGATGTAATCGGAGACACACAGTCAAAAGTGAAAAGGTAAATTTCTCTTCTGAGAAGGAACAGTGACTAAGCTGTAAAGATGAGTTGACGGAAGTAGAGTCACTTTGGAGAAGTGAGCTGTGTTAGGACTAAGAGCATATAGAAATGAGCTGTGCCGAGATATTCTTAACTCTTAATGGGATCATTCTCGTAACTGAAAGCCAAATTTGAACAAAGACGAGGAATTGTGGTGTTCTTACTTAATTTTTGCAAAAATCCTGATTTAGATTTTTTTTTTCCCCATCTCAAACATTTGATGTAGAAATTGTTAGAAGGATCAAAATTCAAATGAAAAACAATGGGGGGAAAAAAATGCATATTTTGAAAACCATATAAGTTTTAATCAAATATTTAAGTATTTCAGTTTTCATTCACATAAAAAATAAGTCGACTGACGGAAAACAAACACAGTCAGTCACTGTTTAAATTGAGTTTTTCTGCACTCAGGACATACTTTATACAAATTTTTGGTCAGCAGTTGTATTCTAGTAATTTTTTTTAAGATCAAGTCTGAAATTTATTTTATTTAGCCACAAGTAAAACTTTTTTTTTCTCCTTTAAAAGGCATTTAAACTGTAGAATCACAGTGGAACACCTTAAAACCAGTTATCGACCCATTCCTAGAGCCTGTATGACATCATGCAATATAATGCAATGTAGTATTTAATTTTTGGTAGTTTCATCAGGCTTCATCAGTTCCTTTTTATCTGCCCCATTACTTTTTCTGATTGCTAAAACTACAGTTTGTTGGGCTATTTTAGTTTTTATAAAATAATGCATATTAAAGTATTCAGCCTTTTGATCTTTCAGACCTTACAAACCAAGCAAATGTTCACGTTATGAAGTAACATTATAGTCTTTCTCTGGTACAATGTCATAGTTTTATTAACTGCCAGGACTTGTTCTTGTAGACTGGCCCGACTCACATGAAGCTTCAAAGGAACATGCAACAGCTTACGTTGCTGTTGTGACTTCATGCAGACTCTGAAGTCCTTATCAAAGCAAAATTAGCAACATTAGTCAACAGAGACGTCTTTTGCTGTGTACAAGAAATTAAATCTTTCTGTTATAGACTTTCATGTCCAACAAATATAAATTACCAGTAGTCTTCTAAACAAGAGGGGATTATTTTACTTAGATTATTTAAACAATTCAAAAAAATTGTATTTTGTTCAAACAGGAAACATACAAACCACATGTAGGTGCAAATAGAGAGAAACTCTGTGATGCATCATATAAAGTGTAGTGAACTCATTATATGTTCATATTACAAAAGTAAAGTAGAAACTGCATTATGCAGCACAAAAATATTTAAATAATAAAAGGCATGTTTCATTAATGACTAAAACATTTCAGTTTCTTGTGTTTGTGCTGTTTGTTTTGTTTTGTATTTATGATGTTAAAAATGATCTCTTTTTGACTCCCACAGGGCCATACGGCATCTCGATGGCAAAGAGTACAGAGGCAGACCCTTAGTTGTTGAAGAGTCTCGTGCACGCCCACCCAACTCCATAAAAGTGTTTGTTGGGAACATTAGTGCAACATGTTCTGCGGAGGACTTGCATGGGTTGTTCTCAACCTTTGGAAGAGTTTTAGACTGTGATAAGGTCAAAGGTAAGGCAGAAATCATCATTAGATAAGACGATCTCTTTGCATCTGTTAGATCCTAACAGCCAATAACCGTAAATTTCTTGTGATTTTATAGCCAGATTATGCTCAAATGTTGGCTATGCATTTGTGCATATGGAGAGGAAGGAGGAAGCCCTGGCAGCAATTGATGCGCTCAATGGGACCATGTTTAAGGGGCGTCCATTGGCTGTGGAGCTTTCCAAGGCTCAGCCTTTGATCAATCAACTCGCATCAGGAGGTTCAGGATCCCCTGCAGGTACTGTAGCTAAATGTTTCTCCCCTACCATTATACAAGCGGGGCGCCCCACCCCGTTAACAGAACCGAGCGCCCCGCCTACTGATCCGAACCGCGCCCCCCACTCGTCGACACCACTGGCGACGCAGTACAGGCGCGCTAGCTAAAAAGCTAAAGGCAGCACTCACTGCCTCTTCCCTCATGCTGAACAACCCCCCCCCCCCCACACACACACACACACACACACACACACACACACACACACACACGTTCCAAACTGTCAGTACAAATAGCGTTCAGCTCATAAGTGTCTTCACCCCCTCGCCCCCATCGAGAAAAAAATAAATCACGGAACGAAATGAGCGCCCTGCCATGGCAAGTTATCTAGGGGAAACACTGAATTGCATGTTTTATATGTGAAAAATATGTAACTCGTGCTGGCAAAATGAGTCGGTGAGCATCGAATGAAGTGCAAAACAAGTAAAAACATTCACACAGAAGGACATCATCTAGTGATCCCAAAACAATATAGAATTTTCTAATCTACCTTTTAAATGTCTTCAGAAGCAATTCAGTTGATTTATAAAGTGCCGAGTCACAACAGAAGTTGTCTCAGGGCACTGAACAGAAACATTCATATGCTTAAAAAAAGACCATTAGTAAAAGTTATTTATCTAGGGAAGCCAGCAGATTTCTTTGAATCTTCACTTTGTTAGTCTCTCATCCTGAGCAAACACATCAGCAACAGTGGAAAGGAAAATCTCCCTTTAACAGGAAGAAACCAGCAGAACCAGGCTCTGGACGAGCGGCCAACTGCTTCGACCGGCTGGGTTTGAGAGGACAGGAAGGAGAAACAAACACAAAATGACAGGTTCAGGTGCACTTTCTAATGAAGGAAAGACCAAAAAAAAAAACACATTAAGACAGAAATAATTACAAATACAAACAGGTAGAGTAAGTAAAGACAGCAGCAGAGAGGAAATGTGGTCAGTTTGTCCTCCAGCAGTCTAAGCAGCATAACTAAGGAAACCCAAGCCAACACTAACTATAGAATTTATCAAATGTATACAGGAAATAACTCTTTGTTTCCACAGAAATGACCATGTTTCTCTGCTGCTGTCAAAGTTACAGGAAATCCCTTCCTGTTTGCCGTCATTATGAAACTAAGTTTTATAATAATATAGTGCTGTAGGCTTGAATAAAACGTGACATCCAGACAAAATGAGGGGGGGCGGGTATTCAGACCTGCACTCTAGTGACTTGCTTCTTGCCAGGCCATGTGATATATATATTTTAATAGTTTATATATTTTTGCTATTTTTGGGTGTAACTGTGACCTTGAGTACCGGTACACAATTTCATTTCGCCTTATGTACCACATGTGATGCGAATGATGATAGTCATCTTGAACCTTACACCTTGAAATGGTCAAATTTCAACAAACTATCGTTTTAAAGTTTTTGCGATGGAGATTTTCAAAATAATTGAAAACGATCTAAACAATCCTTCACTGTAACTCGTTTTGTCAGCACGGGTTGCTCATTGGAATTTAAATATCTTTAAATTAAAACCTTTATATACAAAGCTAAAAGAAAATGTAGCCAAATATTTTACAGAAGTGTTTGTGTTGACGTCAGTGATGCAGATCATGAACAGCAGATGTGAATCATCATACACAGAGTAAAATTATAGAATAATCTGGATGATGACTTTTTAAAACGGTTTCTCAACTTTACAAAGAAAACTGATCAAATGTTACTCGTGGAATATTGAAATCTAAGGTTGATGATATTGTTTCCAATTGATTTTTGTATTTAGGTATTATTTGTGCATGAATGCTTATGGAAGCATGACACATAATTTGTTGACTTATTAAGAAATGTGCAGGTTATATAAGTTTGTTCTACATACTTTATACTCTTTGAAATGTTTGTTGAGCTTTGTGTGTATTTGTGTTTGTGAATTAATGGTTATTTGTTAAACTTGATGAGTGAAATAACTAAAGCATGAAAAAATATATAATCCAGTTTACATATAGGAGTGTTTGCATTTTTATTATTTGAAAAATATGTAATCTTTCTGTGTTTGCAGGTGGCAAAGAGGGTCTTCTTCCTCGACCTCCTCCATCTCTAGAGCATCACCAGAGTCAGGCAGCTGTGCTAGCTGCTGCTGCAGCTGCAGCTGCTGGTCTACCCATACAAGTAATTAGATTTTCCTATTTCCTCAATACTAATGATGAGCTTCAATAGGCATTTTTAGATAAAACCTCAAAAATTATAAAGTGATGTAGCATTTGCTAAACATGTTTTAATTGTGTTTATTTGATTCTATACCCAAAGTTTCACTTTGCTGCTAAGTGATACCTTTTAGTTAGATTTGAGTTTCCTGCCGCTGTTTTAAATGCTCGTGTTTTCTTTGCAGGTTCAACAAAGTGTCCACAATTCATTTTATAACACAACAACTTTTGACCCCACCTACGCTGCTCTGAAAGGCATCACAAGTGCTAAAGGTGCAGATGGTGTCATTTATGGTGCTCTTGCAAGCCAAGTGTATGGATCTGTTGCTGACCAGGTGTACCAAGAAATGGCCAATCACAATCCTCCTGTGGCCGTTGAGGAGGGAGATCCATCTGCCACACCAGATCCAACTACACTTTTTGAGGCAGCAAGAGCAAAGTTCTTTCAGGAAGGACAAAAGGTGGGTTCATTTAAAAACTAAAAAGAGCAGTTTGTACATCCCATTGAGTTGTATTTATTAATTTTGTTTCTAAAAATGAGCTTTAATCATAAGTACTGGTACTCTTGTAATGTTAAGGTGCTGGCAGAGCAGCAGGCAGGAAGAAAGGCAGCAGCAACAGAAAACGAGCGAGACCGCAGTCCGATCAGAGGGAATCGAGCTCCCCTCCTTCCCGACCCTGTTCCAAGTTCCTTTGCTCAAATGCGGTCCAAACGACGCACCCTACTGCCAACACCACCTGGAGTAACTGAAGAGCCGGCAGAAGCCACCACAACAACTGCTGAAGGCTCAGATCCTGTTTCAAGGTACATGTGACGTCTTCGTAACTAACTTGTAGGTTAAATTAGGCCTGTCACAATAAACAAATCAATTAATCTCATGATAAATGAAAATTATCGACTTCATTTTCATTTATTGGCTTTATCGTTTCTTCATGTCTCTCTTTCTACTGAAGACACTGGATGACAAAAGGCTCGACTCCGGTGCTCTTCACTGACCCCTCCCCCTCTCTTTAAAATCTGTTTTAACCGTTCAAAATTGTGTTTTTGGATCATTAAAAGCTGAGAAGCTAAGCTACAAGCTCAGCTAACAGGTCGACCTTGAGGGCAAATCCTCCATCTTGTTGAAGCATCAAAATTCACAGTTGAAACCCGTGCCTTTGTGTAAAGCTGAGAACTTGTTTACTGATTTTTTTAAATTAAAAGCTTTGTGTGAAAAATGCAATGCTAAAGAGCTCAAATCACACCTAGCGTCTGCCATTTTGAGAACCGAAGAGAGACAGCCCTTGTCACGTCAAGGGGCCTCCTTCCCATTTTTCTTAAAAAAGAGACGCTGCTCGCTCCCTCACTATCCATCCTTCGGTTCAAACAGTCTATACTGCTTTCCGGTGGTGAAAAAGGGTACTACGTGCAAAACAAATTCCCATTTCTTCTTAAATTTGTCAATAATTACTAATTATTGTCAAATTTCAAACAATATTATCATTTATCACAATAATTTCTGAGACAATTAATCGCCCTGCAAAATTTGTTATTGTGACAGGCCTAGGTTAAATCGTTGAACAATGCCTGTGAGACATTAGGCAAATGTATTTTTATAACTCGTGAGATTAATAGTTCCATTTTTATCTTTAAATTCTTTCCTTTTTTTGCTTCTTTTGGCATATTCCTTCACTGTAACGTGCACTCTAGGTCTTACACAGAATACTACCAACAAATGCATCATTACCAGCAATATCAGCAATACCAGGAGCAGTATCAGTACCTCCAGTATGCCTACACAAATCCTCCACCACCACCCCCTCCACCTCCACCGGCTACGACACAGACACAAGCTGCCGCCCCAACCCCTGCGCCCCCAGGGACATACGCAGCCCCTCCAACTTACGCCACATCGGAACCCTACGCCGCCCCAGGAACGTACAACTCTTCCGGGAGCTACACCGCCTCGCCAGTGAGCTACAGCGCTTCATCCGGGAGTTACGATGCCTCGGCAGGAAGCTACAACACCTCCGCAGGATATGACACATCTGCAAGCTACGGGGCACCAGGAGCATATGATTCATCTGGAGCTTACCCTGCAGCGGAAAACTACTCCACTTCTACACCGTATGAGCAGACACCCGCACACGGGCAACCCATGCCCCAGCGTAATGATTACCCTTACAACACGCCAGAACCCCCTTATCGATAGTCCCACCCCCACACACTCCTTACACACCTGATGTGTGTTCTTTCGCATACGTATTTACATAGAGGAAATTTCAACAGGTTGCAAGGTCATAATTTGAATGTGTTTTAAAGCATCACTTCCTTTCGGACTTGCCCAAATAGTTTGCCCATCGATCATCTTTGAGTCGGCGAGGTGTTTAGATGAGTGGAGGTAATGGGGCAACGTAAATTGGAATATTGTTCAACATTGAAAGCTTCTTGGATGTTGTGGCTCAGCTGGTTTCTTGTTGAATGTTACCATGGCTTGGGTCAGAATTGGGATTAGTGGCTAGAAACGACTTTGCTCCTGGAGCGAGGCCTTTTACATACTCTACAACGGTTTCTTTTGTCGCCGCTCAAATGTGCAGTTTTAATTTCTTTTTGCTACTTTTTGATCGCCACTGATTGACTTCGTATTCACTCAGGTTACTTTAGGCTGCAGTACTTGACTAACAAATGTTTATTACTTTGTATAGGTCAAACTAAACTAAATGGTCAACACCAAAAACTACATCCTCCTAAAAATCCTAGAATCTACTCCACATCTTTCTGAAGCATCAAAAACTGGTCATATTTCTGAAACGCTCACTGAAGCACTTTTGATTTAGGCTAAGTTTGGTCTAAATGGCGAGTGTCCCATCACTTGTGGAGTATGTAAGAGGCCTTCAATGACTCCAGTTTCAGTGACCTTTTTGTGGCAGCCTGCTCATTTAGGTGCTGATTGGTCCACGTGCTCACAAAAGGAAAGAGTGGTGAATATGAACGACTCCAAATAGTTCAGTTGACCTGGAAGTCCCGTATGTCTTTGCTCCTGGGTTTTGTGGAAGTCAAACACTTGGAAAATGGTGCCGTAAATATTTTGTCTTCTCCCCTGTAGGTCTGGTGTCGTTCATTGAGTGTTCTTGCTGGAGTTCAAGCATGTCGCTCAGGTGCTGCCATCTGATTCTGCAGCGCGGAGGGGTTGTCTGTGCTGGTTTCAGTGCGAGGAGATCAGTTTTGGAGGGAAAGTTCAGCTCAGTGACACAGTTTGTGCTATTTTCAAGAGAGATTTGACTGGTTTGTGTAATAAAAAAAATCGTGCTGGGATATGCAAGGCAAGTTAAAGCAGAGTTGAACTTTTAGTGCGACTGAAAATGGAGAATGGTGCAGCCTGGGTTTTCAGATAAAATTGGCTGTTCCTTTTACAATAATTTGATATATTTTGTTGATCCATCTTTGGCCCAGACTTTGTTTAATCTTTCAGTGTGTACTAAAGCTGGCTAATTCTCTTTGTTAAAACAAATGATTTCTTTTGAAAACATTGTTTCTTTTCAGTTGAGCGTTTTGTCCACAAACATTCATCGAGGGAGAAAAATCGAATACTTTTCCGTTTTTGTACAGTTTTAGGTATTACCCACTCTGATGTTTTTGTTGGTTTTGTACATATGTGAATTTTGAAGAGGCAGGATTAATGTCAGCTAATATGTGGTTGTTGATATTCAAAGAATTTGAGCATCAGTAACACCTAGAATGTCCCTTAGTTTATTGAACCTTTTCATTTCATTTGTTAACAGGCGTTTATTTTTATGGGACACGTTAGGGTTTGAGGGGAACCTTTTCTTTTTGGTACTTGTGTAAATACTTGAACCATTTCTTTGAAAGAGTAATGCCAGCTGACGTTTGCTATTTCATCAAGTTGACTGTGAGAAGATGAGATTGTTGTAGCCCTGCTGATGTCGGGCAGAGTTCCGTGAGGATCCTGAAAGAAAGGTGTTGAGTCATCATTAATTCAAAACTCTGGTGACGTTCTGTCCATGATGTGGGGTCGTTGACTGGGTGGACGTGTTGCGGCTGTCTTGGTGTTGCAGGTTACGTATAGTTTGACTTTTGCAAATGTTTTTTTTTTTTTTTTTTTTCTCCAGTAGCGGCATGTCTCTTCCTTTCACCTTATTTTGACACAGCTAGCATTATTGGCCTTCTCTGGATTTAGCTCATGCTTTCATCAGGATGTGTTTTGTTTGGTCAATAGCTTTGTAGGTTAAACACGCTAATGAAACCAGAGCACACGATTCCAGCTGACTCTCAGTAGTTGCGCAGATGTGACTGCATCCCACGTCACTCGACCGTGTTTCACACTGGGCACACGAACTGCTAGCGTTGTCAGGTTCAAATGACACATTGCGAGCCTACATTTCCACACTGTTCCACTTCTCCATGTGAACTGTCAGTTGCATGCCTTGTTGTTGCTGCTGCTCCAGCCACCTTCTTCCTCTTGCTGATTATTGCAGCTAGAGTGGGAGGGAGCCAAACTGAGCCCTTGCCCTGGACGTACGCCGCACGCAGCTGTAGAGTGGGATGGGGAAAACAGCAGCGTTAGGCCTGAAATGCTGTGGACGATGGGGTGTCTCCCCACTAAGGTAAACACTCAGACCACACACTCCTGCCCCTCCCTGAAACATGCGTACACACTAGCACACATTTACAGTACAGGAACACTTAACGCCCATGCCTGTTATTCCTACCTGTCTTCGGGATTTTCATTTGTCAAGATTTCAGATTTCTGGAAATTTATCTCCTGTCCTTTGTTTGGGGAGATCACGTTCTTCCTGCTTTTGGTTTCCCTGCTCACTTTTCTCCAAGCATACTCTGCTCATACATTCCTGCTCCAAGCTTGACAAGTCCAATACAACCCTCTGAGGACATCTGCACCAGCTTCAGTCTAAATCTCCACGCTTTCAGCAAACATGTTCTTAGTTCAACCTGCCAGCTTAGAGTACCAGACAATCACAGCCAGAGGCAGATTTGGGGCGTTCAGGTTGGATGGGTTATTTTAGATTTTGTTAAAGCGATCCTGCGGCCACTTGGGGGTTATGTGCCTTGATGAAGAGCGCACTGGTAGACCCTTGACTTCAGAGTTGAATAACCTGGCACAGGATCCGTTTCTGGTTCAACTTTCAGCTCTCCCCCACAAAGCAAGTTTTTGATGCCACATTCAACCTGTATGAATGACCGTGAACACAAATGCTACAATGTTTTAAATTACGTTTTTGTCCTTTTCTTCTTTGACATGTTTAATTATCAATAAATGAATTTCCATTTAACTCCATGGTTTCCGTGTGAATATTTGAAGGGTTTATATTTTACAGTTTCAAAGGAAAATAGTGGCAGCCACACCAAACTGAGAGCTCAACATTGGATGTTTTTATTCTAATTTCTTAAAAAACAAAAACATAAATTTAAGCCTTTTTGAATAAGGAAAAATTAACAACTCAAACGTAAAGATAAACCAATCGCTGTAATGTAAAAAAAATAAACTCAAGTTGAAGCTATTAGACATTACTCCCTGCAAGAGTTGGTCTAGGATACCACTGAGTTTCATGTCCTCAACAACAATGAACATTTACAGATTGACACTAGAGGACAAGTGTGGCAGGTGAAGTATACACACATGGTATGCCGAGGTAATAAGATGAGTATGTTTATATTCGTTGATAAGACTTCGTATTAAACTTGGACAAAATGCTCCGATCGTGGATTTATGATATGAAGGTTCATCAGGTTCTGAAAACGCAACACAGGTTTCCAGCAGCCAGTTTGAAGCGATGGTGGTGAGTGCAACTCCCCCCCCCCCCCCCCCCTTAAAGATGTATGATTAAAATCTACAATGAAGTACTCTGTGACACTTCAGTTTAACTTTTCTTGTAGTAATTATAACGTGTCCCCCTTTGTTTTCTTAAACTTGGCTTTTTCCCACTAAAGTTCTCAGATTTACTTTGTTTCGCTCTTAAATTAGCAAGTTTGCTCATTGTTGGGTGCATATGGGAATTTCGTCTGTTGAAGACTGCAACATTGGCATTAAACTTTGCTTTTGTATTATCCCAAGCTAAGTGGAGGTAAAGTAAAAGTGTATTTTTGCTACAAAAAGCAGACATTAGCTGACTTGAACCTGATTTTACCCATTTAGCAGACAGCTTTGTACTTCATCACAAAAAAAACCCTCTTCCATTATATTGTTAAGCAAAGTTTGATCTTCCAGCAAACAGAACCTGGTGTTAGAAAACCACTTTGCGCTTCAGAGATGACTGGAAACTGTTAAGTGTTTGGTGGTAAGACAGGACAACAAGGCAAACACTTTAACACACCACACCAAACACATGTTACAGTACTCAGAATGACAACCTCATGATGCTGCTGGCTTCGTATGAAAAAGGAGCAAGCATTCGAACACGTATTGAAAATAGCAACGCTTTAATAAAGAGCGATTTTTACAAGACTAATGTCTAGCTAGTTATGTGGTAGCCGACATTGACATTCATGGTGTTTTACAGAGATGCAGTTAAAGTAACTGAGTTTGAAGTTTGATGGGTTGTAAGTTGCATTGATCCATGCGAGGCGGCCTTCAAACAGTTGGACACTACATTGTAAAACAGCTTCTGATGAATGTCAATGAGCGTTCATGTCAAGAGGGAAGTTAAAAAAAAAAAACTGGAGAAATTTCCGTAACATTTTCCAAACACACCGGTAAGAGTGAGTTCACACCATGATCATGCTGTTACCGGGCACACTAGCCAAGAAAAAGACGACATTTAATCATGCAAAAGAGACAGTTTCTTTGTCTTGAAAATTAACGAACAAAACAAAAGTCCTTGGGAGTTCTGATAGCATCCATCCATAGTGAATAAGAAGAAGCTGCGCTTTGATGATGACTTTGGTGCAAAAAAATGTTCCTGTTCTGAAGAGGACAGACCCTGCCCTGCCCTCTTCCTTGATGAAGACACTCTTGGTATTGACCAGTTGTGATACTTTACCCTTGATTACCCCCCCCCCCCCACCCATTCCACCTCGAGTCAAACACGAACATTGATCCCTGCCCACCCACCCATCCCTGGATGATGACACTTTCAAATTACAACCATTCAAACACAGATATAGCAATAAATTGTCCCATGTACTGTAAGTCATCCAGTGGGGCTGAGATCACTTTACAGAGGGAGAACGTCTAAAAACACAGAAACAGCATTGCCTATATACAAAAGGGACACGGTAACAGTCAGAGGTTGGCCTAGGATGGTACTGAGTTGTGTTGTAGCGCTGAAGAGCTCAGTGAAGAAGCTCTCAGCTGAAGGAGAAAGACAAACCTCTGGAACATGAAGTAATGAAGAGGGAAGCAACAGCTGAACGTTCTGAGGTCAAACCCAGAACGTCTGCTTGCTTGGTGGTGAGTTCTAACAAGTCTGTTGGTCGTAGAGTCTGAGCTGCAGAGAACAATGTTACATTTTAAACAATTTGCAACAAGGATTGAATTAGATTTTTCTCCTGTAATCCCCATCTCATGCAGCTTCCGTTGGCTCTATTGTTCAGCAGGTGATTGATCCTTTAGCCACCTTAAGTTGATGTGTTGTACAGAGTTAGACACTGTCACTAAAACACTCAATGCTAAGTTAGTACACGCTACCGACTTGCTTCGAGACCTCCATCTCTAATCGAGGAACATGACCCTGTTAATCTCTATGCGAAGGCATGTGCACACAAACACATACAGAACATGTACATAGAACGGACACGATCAATAGAAAACGACTTAATCCCTAATCAATTATTGCCCCTTTCGACTGTACATCCCAGCAATGATTTTTAAGGTTTTTGTGCAGCAGAGCATTGTCCCTTCTTTGAAGGTTTGTGCTATATATGTATGTATATCTATCATTGGACTGCGGGTCTGACTTGACATTGGATCTGTTAGAAAATCCACATTAACATTTAATGCCTGATTAAGGCTCCTTGTCTCAGGCTGTCTGAATTGATCTGCATGCTGTCACAGCAGGCATTACCAGGGTCATGGTGGAAAGACATTTCCCTCAGGTGCTTTCTGATGGTCGGGGTGTTCTCTGGACTTCTCTCAATGACCTTTAGCTGTCCCATCCGTACATCGTTAGACTAGATGAACAAACTTTCGATGCTACCAATCTTTTAAAGTCATCCAGGTAAAGGTTGAACGTGCTGTCAGTGCTTGTCCAAATCCAGTTATTCTGAGGTGAAGGAGACTCGGCTAATTTTAGACAAGAAATTGCCTAGTTGTTGATTGGATAGACTAAAAATGACCTAAATATCTACCCACTTCTCTGTCTGGCTCTTAGTGCATTTTTCAGCTCAGTACAGGTGTAACAGAAAGCTATAAAACAACCAGGAAAAAAGTATTTTGTACAGAAACATGATGCGGACACTCAAGTACAACACTACAGCAGAAACAGCTTCTAAACAGGCTACAGATGGTTGAAAAAGAGTTACTGAGGTTTCACAATATTGCACAGCTGCAGAAAGGGAAACTAAAAAGAAAAACACTGTGTACAGCATGTCCCCAAGTAGCAAAGTTAGTGTGAGAGGTGTGTTTACATCCAAATGTGATAGCTGGATCTGGCTCAGTGCTTTCATCAGTTAGTTCCAGTGCAGTAACACATTGGTACCTGGCAACATCATCATCATGACATCAGGTACCAAAATAAAAGACACACACGCACAGTCCACACTCTAAAGAGTTACGTCCATTTACAATCGCACAAGCATTCCCAAAAACATTGTTGTACGCAATTAACAAATAGTCCTCCATAAATAGAAACAAACAGGTTGATGCAGCTTTGCTGAAATGTAGAAAAAGGGGGGCACGCTCACACTCATTCAAACCACTCCTGACATCAAGTAAAGGATGACACAACCAGGACTCTTGTCTCAACAAGATGCTAAAATCACCTACACAGAAACACACCCTTGGCAAAAGTTCACGTTGAATAAAGTGCCAGCAAATGATCCATTTAGAGGAAGATGCGTCTTTCTTGCTTGATTCAGTTGTGGGATGGAGACGTGGGCGAGCTTTTTTATAAAATAAATTATCAGGACAAGGCGGGGTCAGAAAGTAAAAAAGAACTTCCAGGTAGCTGTCAGCCATCGAAGCAACAGCGCAGGTGTCAGTGCCGTTCACCGTGGCAAAACAAAGGATGGGTCGGACTCATTCTGAGCCTCTGGTGCCATAGCTCTGTACTCTTAGGTTGGAGACAGAAATTAGTAGCCACTCGGAGAGATGAGAGAAAATCAGAGGATCAGGTGACATTAAATTGACATCAGCATTTTATCCATCCCCTGTTCCTCTCTCCTCCCTTTGCCTTCTTCCTCCTGCACTGGATTTGGTTCTGGGTTTGCATTGGCTGTCAGCTCTTTCTCCGTTTCTTTCTCTTGCCTCTTCCCCTTCAGCTTTGCTGCTATGGTTACATCATCAGCTCTACATGAAGTGCATCTGGAGAGGACATGGGAGAAATCAAGAGCAATTTAGTCCCAACAAAACGCACCCCATCATCTGTTCAGACATCTTTTTGAGAAACATATTCCCCTGCTGAAATGTCAGGAAAACAGTCCCTGAAAGAAACACATTTTCATGTTTTTATTCATTTGTCAAAATATATGTTTTTTAAACATTCTGATAGTCTTAAAACACTTTCCTATAGGAAACCTATAAACCTGATTAGTCTATTGCTTTAGCAGTTTTAATACTCGAAAAAAGTATTTGAATGATTACATCATGTATTTTGTAACATGCAAATATGATTTGTGAATTTAATTAGTTTTCCAAAAAATTAGATTTCAATGTAAATAAAATCAAAATGCTAATAATAATCCACTTCTTATTTTTTCTCTCACTTGCTCTGGGACGAGGCACACGCGTTCTCTTCCCTCTCCCTGTTCTCCTCCTGCTTTTTTTGCTCTCTGTCTGCGCATTGGAGCTCCTATTTTTACACATCTTCCAAAATGAAAACTACTGTTACGGATCTAACCAACTGGACGTTCGACGCAAATGAAGAAAATCTTTTCAACAAAGCGACAGGGTCTTGAAGAACCCTTATGTCTGCTCGAACGATACATGCAGCTGGATATATCTCTGGGGAAGTGGAATGTGATGTGTGTATCTCTGCTGTCAACAGAGTACGCCGAAATTGCATATAATTGGATTTATGATAACAGGTCTCTTGTTTTTAAATTGGTTCATGGTATTTCAACATACAAAGATGACGGCCACAGCTAATCTGGCCTGGTCAGGCTGCTGCCCATGTGAAGGTTTGGGTCGTGCTTTGAGGACTCAAAATCAGCTGATTTACGAGCTAAATCGTAAGATGGAAGTGATTTGAATCGCAGGCCACCTGCGGCTTTGGGACTCGTCAGCATGAAAAAACCTTGAAGAGGCTCGTAAGCACGGACCAGTAGAATGCACCCTAATCTGGCCATTTTGGATCTTGGAAGTATCAGTAAGACTAAAGGCTGACAAGAAAAATAGTCTGCCTGTAAAAATTAACAATAGTGGCTTATCTGAATCTGACTCCCTGGTTGGCCTCGAAAACAGGCCAACACATCCATTTCTCCTGGGAAATGTGTGAAATAAGGAAAAGCTTTGTCTAGTGCAACCCCCCCCCCCCCCCCCCCCCCCCCCACCCACCCCCCCTCCTCCTCGCCCCCCCCCCCCCCCCCCCCCCCAACTTCTGTGGAGGCTTATCAGAACTGTGCCGACTGACCATCTTATCAGGACAATGGACTGTTAGTGCTTCATGGACCGCCTCGTCATCAAATGCATATGTAACATGTTCATAAATGTGCTTGCTGGCAGAGGTTTTTTTAAATGTCTTAAATCATGTCCTGTTAGGACAAGGTGTGAAGAGATCTTTTTTTGTAATGCCACTATCCTCTCTTTATGGCTTTGTCCTTTTTTCTATCTAAAAAATGTATTCTGTAAAAGATAAGAAGGCCGCGCTCTTAAAGAGCAGCATCTATGTGCACTCTGCCCATCTTTCGGACGACTGTACGGACATATTTTCGTTGTATCTCTGTACAATAACAATAAAGCTGATTCTGATTCTAAGGCATGCACTGAAAAAATGAGGAACGGGGCAATGACACATTTTGGCATTGCTAGGTTTTTTCATATTGTATTTGTCTCACACCAGTAGACTGTTGAAGCTGTACAAAGATATATCTGTGTTGTGATACCTGTGTACCCGGTATGGGTCCAAATGAACTGGTGGGTCTCAGGACAGGCTGGTTGTACATGATAGGCTGCGGGGGAATCATGGGAACACCCCCCATCTGATGACTCATCTGAGGAGGGAGCTAACCACAACAGAGGCAAAGACAAAAATCAGTAAAAGGTGAATGGTAAACAAGTTATTTGGATCAAAATAATTCAGAAATTATCCTTTGAATACTCCTTGAATCACCACCTTATTGTGGTGGAGGAGTTTGTGCGCCTGAATGATCCTAGGAGCTATGTTGTCAGGGGGCCAATGTAATTGCCCCTGGTAGGGTCTCCCAAGGCAGATTGGTTCTAGGTGACAAGCCGGAAAAAGATCTATTCAAAAGACTAATGGACATAAAGGAACAAGGAAGTCAGTGTCTCTTGCCCGGACGTGCGTTACTGGGGCCCCACCCTGGGGGAGGCGCTCATCTGCGCCTGGTGACCGGGTCTCTACCCATGGGGCCCGGTTGGGCTCAACCTGAAGGAACAACGTGGGTTTGCCTTCCTGTGGGCCCACCACCTGCAGGTAGGGTCATACAAGTCGGGTGCAAGATGCAACGGGCAGTGTCTGAAGACAGGGGCCTTGGTGCTCTGACCCTGGCTTAACAAAGCTGGCTCTTGGGACATGGAACATAACCTCTCTGGTGGGGAAGGAGCCTGAGCTTGTGCGTGAAGTTGAGAGGTTCCGAGTGGATATAGTTGGGTTCACCTCGATGCACTGCATGGCCTCCGGAACCAATTTCCTTGAGAGGGTCTGGACTAGGGCATTAACAGAGTACTCGAGTAATCTACACATCGATTGCTAGGACCTCTATCGAGGTTAAAAATGTAATGTCGAGTAACTGTAGTGACGTCATATAATGTGACCACCGTATGACCGTAGGGGGCGGTGTTGCACTGTTGCAGGTCACAGAGTATGGTGTAACACCGGGTCCAATCCACCACCCATCCACTGTTTTAAGTTTCGTTTCTGACGTGCTGCACGTTTCTTCACGTTTGCAGTTTAATAATAATAACTAATAGTTTAGTTTTTCCTGTGACTTATTTGCAGTATGATAAAGGTAGGAGCATAATATACGCTCCCAATGTTTTGTTGGTCATTTTTTTTGTAAATAATTACCTTTTATTTCGGTTTTATTTATTTATTTATTTTTGTATCTTGAGATCTATGACGTCATCAAATACTCGAGTTCTACTCGGGTTTTATTATGTCAATGTCGAGTTTAAAAATTATATACTCGTTCAACCCCTAGTCTGGACTTCCACTCTGGAGTTGCATATGGGGAGAGGCACTGAGCTGGTGTGGGTCTACTTTTAGCCTCCCGACTTGGTGCCTGTGTGTTGGGAGTGTTCCCCGGTGGATGAGAAGGTGGCTTCCCTACGCCTTACAAGGAAGAAATACTGTCGGAACTTCTCAATCCCACCGGCACGTCGTCCATGTGGGAAGCTGAGTCTGAGGACTTCGGGGTTGGTTTGTCCATAACTGTGGCTGAGGTAATTAAAAAGATATGTGGCGGCAGGGATCCAGGTCTGGATGAGATTCACCCTGATTTCCTTAAGGCTCTGGATGTTGTTGGGCTGTCTTGGTTGACACACCTTTGCAACACTGTGTGAACACCCAGGGCAGTGCCACTAAAATTGGCTGACTGGGGTGGTGGTTCCCCTCTTAAAAAACGGGGACCATAGGGTGTGATCCAATTATAGGGGCATCACTCTCCTTAGCCTCCCTGGTAAGGTCTTTTCAGGGGTACTGGAGAAGCGAGTCCGATCGTTGGTTGAACCTCAAATCCAGAGTGAACAATCCGTCCTGGCCGTGGAACGCTGGACCAGCTCTCTACCCTCACTAGGGTCCTCGAGGGGTCATGGGAGTTTGCCCATCCAGTCTACATGTGTTTTGTGGATTTGGAGAAGGCTTTTGACCGTGTTCCTTGAGGTACACTGTGGGGGTGCTCCATGAGTATGGGATTGGGGGCCCGTTGCTACTGGCTGTTCAGTCCCTATACAAGCGGTGCGAGACTTTGGTTCACATTGCAGGTAGTAAGTCGGACCCCTTCAGGGTGAGAGTTGGACTCTGCCAGGACTGCGCATTGTCACAGATTCTGTTCATAACTTTTATGGACAAAATTTCTCGGTGCAGCCAGGGGGCAGAAGGATTCTGGTTTGGTGACCTCAGGATTCCAACTCTGCTCTTTCTGCAGATGATGTGGTCCTGTTAGCGTCATCATGCCATGATCTCCAGCTCTCACTGGAGCGGTTTGCAGCTGACTGTGAAGCGGCTGGAATGAGAATCAGCACCTCCAAATCTGAGGCCATGGTCCTCTGTCGGAAAAGGGTGGATTGCTCTCTTTGGGTTGAGGTTCTGCCTCAAGAGGAGTTCAAGTATCTCAGGGTTTTGTTCACGAGATAGGGTGAGGAGTTCAGTTATTAGGGAGAGATTTGGAGTAAAACCTCTGCTCCTCTACATCAAAAGAAGCCAATTGAGGTGGTTCAGGCATCTGTTAAGGATGCTTCCTGGGCGCCTCCCACTGCAAGTTCTTCAGACATGTCCAAGGAGACCCTGGGGAGACCCAGAACACACTGGAGAGACTATGTCTCTCAGTTGGCCTGGGAACGCCTTGGGGTCCCCCCAGAAGTGCTAGAAGAGGTGGCGGTGGAACAAGAGATCTGGGCTGCCCTGCTCAAGCTGCTGCCCCCACGACCCGACTTCAGAACAAGCAGAAGATAATGGATGAATGGATGGCTCCTTGGAATGGATTTCTGTTTATTTGACAGAATTTTAGGAGGCTTCCTCACCATTCCATACACAGGCACTTGGGGTGTCGTCATAGGAAAAGCCACTGGTGCTGGAGCCTGGACATAAAACATATCCTAAAGTCAGCTTTAAACCTCATCCTTTATTTCTTCAATCTTAACGTCTAACTTCTCCAAAATACACCACATGCAAAAAAAAGGATGTAACGTGTTATTAATAAAGATAACTTGATGAAAGTTGGTAGTGATGCAGCACAACATTCAGAACGTGATTGAAATTTTGATTAAACTTACATATCCAGTATAGATCATCCCATTCTGTGGAAAGACAAGAGTGGGGAAAAAAGTAAAATTGTCTTCCTCAACTTTAAAGCTAAACCTGTTCAGACTCATAAAAAGGGTCACAGAAAATAAACCAGACCTTTATCCATTCATCACGTTAAAACCTACTCTGTGCAACTTACTATTATGTCATTGTTACTATACAATACAATACTATACAATACAATACAATACAATACAATACAATACTATACTATACTATACTATACTATACTATACTATACTATACTATTCTATACTATACTATACTATACTATACTATACTATACTATACTATACCTACTCTATGCCATTGGTTTTCTGAACCTTTTCCTAATAAAATGTGCAGTTCAAGTTAAGAGGCTATTCAGTCAAAGATTATGAAGATTAGACTAGACTGAATAGAGGAGACATGGAGATTATTGGAGTGAAGCACAAAGAGCAGAGATAAAAATAGAGAATGACAGTTTTAGGCTTCATCAGAAAGGCACTTGGGCTGCAGAGAACGTGATAAGTAAAGGTGGTACAAAGCACTCCAGGATGTAGATGAATAAGTCTTCAGTGTGCAAATTAGCATTAATTATTGGATTTGGTCAAAGATTATCAGTGCAGTAAGATGAAATCCACTGTCCAAAAGCGCAATATTCTCAATATCTGAAATTCTATTTAAGATGTAACATATTGAGTCACAATAATATCTGATCCTTGCGTTAACTTCAACCTCAACAATAAAAAAAAAAACATTTTTATTTTACAAAAAGCATAGCAAAATGCAGAAGGGCTGATTCATCATGATTTACATGCACATAAAGCCGGGGTTTGGGTTTCATTAATAATAATACATCAGCCATCAAATGCACTGGAAGCCTGCTGAGATCCAGGAGTATACACCCATCCAGACCACATGCAACACTTTGATTTTCTCATAAACGTAGTTCAGTTTCACCTTTTTTTTTTCTTTGCTGTAAAGTATAGATTTGTATTAAGGGCATAGAAAGCTAATGAGAGAGTTCTAAAGAGCAAAACCATTAATGGTCTAAAGATGATGGCTCCAAACATTAGCAGTTTACTAAGCAGAAAACTATCAGGTACATCTATGGGCAGATCAGTGTTGCACAGGTACACTTCCTGAAAGAGGAGTACCTTTCACAGCAGGGGCGTCTTTTTTCAGTATAACACTGGCACAGCATAATGGAAGTTGATTAGAATTTTACTAGGAATGTGCAATATATGCGGTACACGGTAGAAACGATGGACATTTAGCCTATGATAGAGATCTATATTCTACCAGCTAACCACAGTAATGCTGTGTCTGATGTAAAATCAAAGTTGTCAGATTTAACCGGTACGTTTTTTTTTAGTTGAAAACTGCGTAAATGGTGTTGAAGTCTTTTCTTCGAGAGCTAAGTAGCGAAACTACAAGCTAACTACGGCCGGCTTGCCGTACTGTTGCCGTAATAGAACGCATGCGCAAAACGCTGTGTTCCATCAAAAGTTAAAGTAAGCGGTCAGCTTTAGAGAGTGCATTTGTGCTAAAAAAAAAGGGGGGGGGGGTGGTAAATCTGATTTGTTTACAAGTCATTATGTTGTCAGAAGCTACAATTACTACTTTTAAATCTCTGAGACATGGATATGATTTTTCAAATATTAATTAAATCCAACAAATATTACCCTTTATGAAACATTTTTGTCTAACCAAGTGTCAAGTTGAAATGCGAGAATGTCTGGTTCCAGAAAAACAAAGGTGGCAGGAGTCTGATGCCAAAATCGAGACCTGACCGTGTCGTGGTAGCATTCACTTCTCGTAAACTATCCAAGATGAACAACAAGGCAGTTATAAACATTTTTGGGATATGCACCATATGATCTTTTTTTTTTTTTACTTCTAAGCTCTTAATTAAAGATGCTCTAAGACCGTGGTTCTCAACCCTGGTCCTTGAGGAACACCATCCTGCATGTTTCAGTTGTTTCCTGCTTTAACATGCCTGATTCAGTGATTTAATGACTTCCTCAAGTTCTGCAGAAGCCTGTTAATTACCCATTCATTCAAATCAGGTGTGTCAAAGCAGGGGAACAAGTAAACATGCAGGATGGTTTTCCTCAAGGACCAGGGTTGGGAACCACTGCAAAAATGCCGGACCAACATGGAGTGAGCTTGGTTCCAATGAACCAAACTGACCCTCCAGCACTCTTTGGTTTGTCAGGCACAGTCAGTGAGGTGGAGCTTCATCGTATTGCTACAGTGCCCCATGGACTAGATGACAAGCACTGGTCCTCCTGTCAGAAGGTGGTTGATGAAGCTTTTCATTTACCATCTGAGGGACGGGCATTGGTGCAGGTGCCATGGGATGGGTTGTGTGAGCCCAGTTGGTGTTGGTACACATTGTTTTTGACTGCCAACCGCTTCCTCCTGTTGGCTTCTTCTCTACCAGGTGGCTCCACTGGAGCTCTGGCCTAACATGCACAAACACACACACATATTACAGGTGTTAAAAATGTTAAAATGAAAACAGGCTGACATGGTTTTCTGAGACAAATTTACTCACTTTTTAGCTGGCATACCCCCAAACTGCAGGTCTGAGAAAATAAATGAAAAATGAAGACAACATCCGTGGATAGGAAACAACATAGCAAGCCAACAAAACAGGTCAGATAGAAGGGATGACTAATTATTTGGAGAGCAACATGCAGTATACTCACTGCCAACCAGATTAGCTAATGAAGAGTCCAAATCATTGGGCAGCATTTTCCCAGAGTGCAAAGGAGCTCCTGGACTGTGAATCTGAGTAGGTGGAGATGGCTTTAGCAGGTCACCTGACATCAAAGGGTAACCATGGAAACATGAAAGGAGAGAAGAGGGAAAATGAGTCAAGAATATGAAGCGACTGCCCATCAGCACATCCAGTTTAGTGTGTGCCTGCCTGTAAGCAAGTGGCATGCTTTGTATACTGTGCTTGCCATCCTACCTCCCCAGGCATTGTTATTGTTGTGCACAGTGTGTGTGGTCTGGATGGGGGTGAAGTTTGGCTGCAGGGTAAACAGCTCACTGGTCAGGTTTGGCACACTAGAGTAGAAAAAAAGTAAGGAGTTGTAGGTCACATCTTTATTTCTGTTTATGACGGTAGCCAGTGAGAGCTTTTTTCAGTAAAGTATTCAGGTAGTGGATAAAATGACAGCATGCTGGGAGCTTTGTTTGGTGTTCACATGTTGGACTCACTAGTTGTTGATGGGTACGCTCTGTAGGTTGGAGAAGAGATCTGTGGCCCCTACGCTGCTGTTGGCACTGCCCACTGAGTGGGTGCTGGGAGAGACGGTGGGTGTATGAATGTCAATCACTTTGTGGTCCTCCTACACAGAAAGCACCAACAGAAGATACATTGTTTGTTTCAGCTCATAAAAAAGTGAATTTTCAGTACTCTTAAAACAAATGGATGTCTTGAATGTTTCAAAGAATGACTGCTGTAAAGGTCGTGTAGTATTTTAAGCTTTGAGGTCATTTCTTTTCACTACGGGCCAGCAGCCGGAGACAGGCCGTCTGTTTTGTTGTGCATTAATGCACAATAGAGTTGCATTCAGGCCTCAAAAAATCCAGCCTGAACCCAAATTATTTTTTCCAAACCCGACCTGAAACCGACAGATTAACTGTAATTACAGGCCTGAACCCCCCCCCCCCCTTTATTAAGCTTTTACTGCTTTTGTAAGCAAATCGGTTTGACATATTTTAAAAATGTATTTCAAAGAAAAGAAGATACGTATAAGGTTTCTTGTTTCATCAAATGGATATTAACAAACAAAACAAAAAGCCTAAAACAATCAACTCTAAAGAAAGGCTATTATACAGATGAACAAAAATATTTTTAAAGCACAATTATTTGAAAAATATAGAACAAGGATATTTTAATTTAACGAGCTGCTCGCTTTGGCTTTTCTCCAGATGCTGCTACTTCTTTCACGGCAGATGACAGCAGGTGCAGAGACGCACGCGGCCGGTGATCAGCTGATCCATCTGAGCTTAACTGGACGTTTTTTTTTTTACCTCTTTAAACCGGCCAGTTGGACCTGCCTCCTCCTCAACAAGCAGATTAACACAATTTTATATTGTGCATTCTTATTTCATTTTCTTTGTGCTATGATTTGTAAAACTGCACCACGGAAGCTTGAGCCCATGTGCACAATTATTGCGCAATGTGCCAGCGATCTCTTCACAGTTTGATTAACTGCTGCACTCTTCTTTCTTTCTTCATCCTCTCAACATATAAACTTACTGCCTCCTCCTCTACAAGTAGATTAACAATTTTATATAGTGCATTCTTATTTAGTTTTATTTGTGCTAGTGTTGTGTTCAAGACCACCTAACCCGAGACCAAATCAAGACCAAGACTTTTAGAGTCCGAGACCAAGACCTCAAATAAAATAAATAAAATATAAAATTTTATTATAATTTTTTTAATATAGAAGTTACATACTGCAACTTTAAGTTTGCTTTTGAATGAATATATCAGCATTTACAAATTTTCTAAGCTACATAACAAAGAAATCAGACATTCAGTGGCCTAACTTCATGTGATTCAAAAATAAAATTACACAACTGTTAAATTAGAAGCAGTTTCATCGCATGCGAAGCCTTAAAAAAACTGAAGTGGCAAAACACTCTTAATAAGTCCAAACTCAAGACCAAGGATAACCATATTGTTGCATTAGTATATTCTTTGTGATTTAAATAGGTGAATTTTATAACTGATGTTTTGGCAGACATCTTCTCCAGCGCCCAGACAATCACTTCTCATTTTCTTGGACTGCCAGTGTTGCCAGATAGAGTCGAGGTTTTTCAGCCCAAAAATTTGTTAAAAACCGCCATATCAGACAAAAATCTGCCCGATCAATATTTTGTTACAGTATATTTACTGTTTGAACATGAACATACATCAGTACAATCCAAGGTAATTTAACAATATGTGGCAAAATGCAACAATCCAACAAAAATCTTCCCAGAGTTCCCAGCAAAATCATAATGAAAATTGCCCAATTGCCAGTAAACTGCCCAATCTGGCCACATTGGGAGTGATGCGTGCGAGTGAAAAGGGGTGGGCGTGACAGCGGTAACAAAATATGTATTTAGCAATGAGTCACGTTATCTCTCGGATTTGAACCAGTATGGTTTGCATCCAATAAAAGCAAAGATGTTAACAAATAAACTGGACAATATTCTGGTAATGATATTTCCACAGTTGTGGTTTTGACTGGTCTTGAAATAAAATCCAGAGTCCTCAATGTCCGAGACCGAGACAAGGCCAAGACCGAATGGGGTCAAGTCCGAGATCATCAAAAAGTGGTCTTGAGACCAGTCTTAAGACCAAGACCGGTCTTCTAATTTGTGCCGTATGATTCATAAAACCGCATCAAAGCCCGAGACCGGCCCATGCATCATGCACATTATTATGGCCCGACCCGGCCCGAATTCAGGCCGGGCTCGGGTTAGAAATTACAGCTTTAATGCACAAGCCTGTACAAAAAACACATGGCACTTATGACATGGATGTTTTTCCCACAGTTCACACATTTGAGTGTTTTCTTACAATTAAAGATCTAGTACTCCTTGAAGAAATGTACATGGCAAAGATCATCTGATTTTGAAAAATGTCAGTTTTAGCCTTGTTGGTGAAAATAATGTACTCAATCATGTGACATTACAAGATCTAACACAAACAGTGCTCTGAGAATATGTTGGGGATGGCTCCCAGCTACTACCACACCAAATCTTAGCTCAGTATCTGTAAAACTGACTGTGGTATAGATATTTTTGTACACATGTAAGTTTTAAAAGTAAACTATATGCCTTGTGTTGCTGCAGCCGGTTGTCCTCTGTCTTGTCATCCATACGGCTGAGAGAGATCCCTGCACTGGAGAGAGACGACACAGCACTGGACAAGGTACTGGATCTGGGAGTGAAACAGAGACATGTGTTTCTACTAAACTTCTACTAAACTTAGCATTTAGAGCAACTCCATTAATTTCTTCAAACTGTTGCTGCCCCATTTTTTTTAACTAAATTACACCAAATGCTATTTTGTAATAATTTTTTAAGGCTACATTTGACAAAGTCAAAGTTATCAAGTAAAATTAAAGCGCTGAAAGTGTTTTTTTTTTTTTTTTTCATCATTGAGAAGATGCATAAACTGAAGTTCCTGAAATGAATCATGATTTTTCATCTGATGACTTCATCCACTTAATGACATCTGAGATATTCATGAATGAAGTGCTGCTACCCACCTCTAAACATGTTAAGCCAGTAACATTTGTAATAATATTAGATATTAAAAGACAGATTAGGGGCCGGCCGATAGAGCAGGTCAATACATTTGCCAGAGTGGGAAAACTGGCGTCAGCAAATATTTCACTGCATCAGCTGCTGATTATTTCCAAAGACCAGTGAACAACTGATGAGCCTTATACATATCAGCCATTATCGGCCACATTTGGCATGTCATTCACAACCCTTTAGATTTGTCGTGGTTGTTTTGAAGCCATAAGACATGGTTGCTGTTGTTATTCAGCACCAGGTCATGTGTTTTTCTGCTCCGTCTGTTTTAGTCTACAACTGGTAATCGCTCATTGGAAATCAAAATGAACTTTTTGCACAATTTCTGGCAGATTTGGGTCTATTGAAATAACTTATCCATGGTTTAAATCAAAGCCACACAATAGACCGCATTATCTTTTTCTACAAATATGATTAGTGTTCAGACTTTGGCAGAGCCTTGATTTTTAATTAAGATGAGTATAAGAACTAAGTTTATAACTGTTTATGACAATGTCCTCTTCAAAAGTGACAACATTCTCTACTAAAACATTAAGTTGCTACACTTTCCCCACCAATCACTTTGGTTTTACATCTAAACTACTCTCTTATGGACCTTTTTACGAATACTAATACACATGCTCTAAGTCAGTACTGTGCGATACATGGTGATCTAGATATATTCATGCCTACGTCCGTTGTTTTTCACATAAACCTAGTCTAAACAGAGTTCATATCTTTCATTTAGTGTTCCTATGTTTCAGCTGTGTCCTGCAGTCATTCTGTAAAACCAATAAAAATAGCAATAAAACTGATTTATAAATTTGATGTAGCTATGAATGTATTTGAGCATGTGGTACCCGAGTCTCAGCATGCACATTAGTAACTAAAAAGGCTCATGATCAGCATGCCAGTGGTTCTCCTACAATAATTTCAAATTTAAATATACATAAAGTTTTTGTTAATAGTTAATCGTGTCCTATTAATGTCCAATAATGGACAAAATTCAGTTCATCTAAATGTTACTACCTGTACAATAACCTGTCACACAACATGCAGTATACGTTATGTGCATTATATATTGTGCATTTAAGCAATATTACTACCTGTGAAATACTTATTTATACTAATTAATCCTTCTTGCACCATTCTATTCTACCATGTTGTTTACTATTTTTCTTTTGGACCTTGTAAATATTATATTTCTTTTCACTTTAGGTACTTTATTTTGTACTTTTCTTGCACGCTTTAGTATTTCTTGTTTTTTTAGCGAGTAGAAAACGGTTCTTCTCATCCTGAACATTTCATTGCATTGTTGACCTTGTGTTAACCGGCATATGACAAATAAACAACTTAACTAATGGTCACTGTTATTTGGTAAAAACTAAAAAGCTTTCAAACTAGTTTACAACCGAATGGTGAGGTCAAATGACTTCTTTAGTACTTCTTTCTGTAACTGTACTGAGTTCAGTATCAAACTTTTTTTTTTTAAATGAATATTTCTTGTAGAGGCAGAAATAAATTATTTACAAGAACTTAAAAAAACAATGTTCTTCAGAAACATTCGGAGCCTAGCACAGTTTAAATTCACATAAACATGTTACATTAGAAGAATGGTTAACATTAACGTAATCGTTTTTAGCTGCATATCAACACTGGATATTTTAGCACTGCAGTAAAATTCAATTGGGAATTTCCCAGTTGTTAATGGGGGGGAAAAGCACTGGTAAACATTTTAAGTCATTTGAAGCTGCTGGTGCAGCTGATCCAAGTAGTTTCACATTTGGTCATACCTGCTGGCAGCAGACAGGTCCTTGAGCTTTCTGCCCTCCAGAGAAGCTAGATGCTGCTCCAGAGCCTCCAGGAGGGTGTTGGGAGCCTGAAAGGGGTAAGGAGGGGGGGAGGGGGGGGGGTTGGTATGAAAGTATTAAAAGTACAGCCAAGTAGGAAAAAGTGGGACTAAAAACTTTTTCACCTTTTCTCTTCACGTCTCATTTGATCTCTCACACACACAAAAAGCAGCTAACTTAAGACATCACCCTCAAATTGACTCTCTACTCTACAGCAGCTCATTTGTTCTGCTTTTGCATTTGGTTTCATCAGGTTTGGTTGACCAGCATGCACGCGTTGGCCTTGGATCATGCAAGCGAGTCCACAGCATGACTGACAGACCAGGACAAAGCACAGCGTCGTCGCTTAAGGGCTCCAAAGTAGAAACGACAACAAATGCCATCTAATGAGCCCATGCAAAGGCCAGCAGTCCACAGATGCTCTCGTAAGCACACACACACTTACACACGAAAAGAAAAATTGCCATCCAAAAGAGTTAACTCATGGATTCCTCTTTAACTAATAAAACCAGCGGACATGTTATTGATTAGTTATGGAGATTTTATACCAATCAGTTTAAAAATATAAACACCTGAGCTAAGCATCTGACTTGAAACCAAAAAAGTTAACTCAGTCAAACGTAAAAATCTGATTAAAACCAGGTATGCACATTGAGCTGTTGGCCAGCTTTCATCATTGGAAAAACAAAATGGATGAATGAGTTGGTTTGGACCACATGTGATACCACGGTTCTCATCCAGAGTTTTACGTTTCAGCATCAGCACAGTCCAAAACACAACAGGCAAAGAAAAGTTGTCTCATATACTTATTTTAAGGGGGAAAGAGAGTAAAATGCGAAATCTGCATATCCTTCTCCAGAGACATCTAGAATATGCTAAAAGTTTAAAAATAAAACAGACATATCTACAGCCCAGTAAAGGCACGGGTCGCCATGTTGAATAAGGGCATATAAGGTTTTCATAAGTACTACAAATGTTGCATTTTTTTAGTCAACCCTTCTCAGTTTCTTACGTGAATTTTTTATATATTATAAATAACCAATTATGCATTCACTGAAAAGGATAAGTCACATTAAATGCCTAAAGATGCAGCACTTATGATGGCATTATGTACACCTATCCAAGTCATAATTGCAGAAACCTATTTAATAAAAACCATTCGCTGCTCTCCCCACAGCTAATGAAAAGGGACTTTTTGAGAAAAAAATGTTTTTATACTGAGGGAAACACCTATTTCATAAAGTCGAGCAGTCTTGTTATGTTTCTTATGATGAGCCTTTGAGTAAACAGTTTGTTTACACTGAGAAAAATGCCAGAAAGGCTGTCGGAAAAAGTCAAACAAATGCTAAAATTAATAACTAAATTAAAGTTTTGTTACCCAGCTGCTTGAATTATTCTTTAAAATTCTTACCTTTGAGTAAAATTTGTTCTGCAGTGATTCAAATAAGAAAAAAGATGATAATTGTGTGAAAGATACGCTGCTTCAGAGCTATTTGCAGGTCTTCATTTATGATTTCCTCTCTAATCTAGACTCTGTTCCAACAGAAAAAAGAGGCAAAGCAAGGGGAGATAAGGAGAGTGAAGAAGAGAGGAAGAAGACGGGGCAGCTGCAGTGTGGGCAGGTCTGTAGGGTGAGTAGGGAACGGGAGCGTTAAGAATGAAGCATTATGGGAACTAACTTAACGGGTTTCTAAACTGGTTGACTAGTTGATTGACTGAGATGAGATGTGGACTGACCTGTGTGAGATCGGGGCTGTCGCCCTGATCTATCCCAACTCGCTGTGTCACAAAAAAAGGGAAGGATAGGGAAGGGAGGAGGGAGGCAAAATGAAAATAAACCAAATGTCGTAATAAAACAAGAAATAAACCAAAACAGACTACAGTTGGGGGGAAAAGGGAGGAGGCAAGTGAAGGAGGAGGAGGAGGAGGGAGAAAGAAGAATCAAACCCAAGCGTTCATTACTTCATGCAGTGGCTGGAAAAGGAAAACAAACAAAAGACAACAGAGGAGGAGGGCACATGCACACACACTCACACACACACATACAAACAGCTATATATACAGAGTATATGAACACACACACACACAGAAATCTGGAGACTGGTTGGAAATGAATGCTGAGCGCATCGACTGACTGAACAGGCAGGGCAGAGAGGGAGGACAACAGGTCACATGACTGCGAGGAGGAACAACATCCAAAAGGAAGACACTCAACTAATGTTGACTTCGAACAGAAGGAGAGGGGAGGGGGACACAGATGACACACAAAACAAACACATTTTGTTAGACAGGTAAAATGAATGGGTCCTTAAAGTCAACGTTAGTCTGTTTTCTCTCTTCGTTTTTTTTTTTGGATCAAGCGGCTGCACCCCAAACCTTCTTCCAAATGGGAACGAAACCAAGCAGTGAGAAAGCCTTTGAAGATGGCGCATGGGGAAAAAGGCTACGCAATCTAAAGAGGATAAAACTATTTTTATTCACTTTGAAGCCTAGCAAGAGCTCCACTTGATAACAGCCATTATGCACATAAAATACATCTTTTTTTATGAAAAGGGGAGAAATGAAAGAGGTAGAACAGGGGACAGAGATAGTGATAGAGAAGAGCTTGCTTGGGCATGCAGTGCAGGCATGTGAACAGGCAGCACGCGAGGGGTCCCTCAGCTGGAAGCTGTACACGAGTGGCTCTCTGACAGACTAAAACTCAACCATTAATGACTGTCTTGGAGTAACCCAATCCCCAGTTCAGGGCAAGAGAGGGTCAGAAACGGGAGAATATCTAGATGCAGAAAGAGATTTAAGGATTAAATAGAAGAAGCCCTTGGTCACTGATCTGCGGTCAGCTTGGGTTGTAAAATATTGACCGTAAATCAGAACCGCAGGGTGACAGAAGTCTGCAGCCAATCTCAGCAGGATGAGGTGGCTTTTAGCTGCGCATTAATTTATTCTGGGTGACACAAGAAAATGAAACGAGTGTACTACTGAAGAGATTTATACAAAACCAAACAAGGAGGCTGCTGAGATTCACTGCAGATTATTTTGTTGTGCCCACAGGAGGACTGAGCAGGACAAACAAACAATACCTCTGCCACTTTCAGAAACTCGGACAGTTTTGTCATCCTGTTGAGGAAGTTCTTGTAGATCTCCAGTGCTTCTTTGCACTGATTCTTCTTCATGTCAAAGTATTTCTCTGTGCAGCAAAAAAAAGAAGAAGAAGAAGAAAAAAAAAATCACTACAAATTTATATACAGAGGCAAATAAACCTGTTGGTACACAAGATTTAAAAAACAGAACTAATGCCACTATCCAAAAAGCTCTGGTTCATCAGAAACTTTGGGGCTTATCAACATGCATTTAGGTAAATTCCAGTCCGACTTTCTGTCGTTTTTTTTCCCTCCCAGTAGTGGAACATCTTGGGTCTTTATCCATGGAGCCTTTTATGATTGAAAATTTGACAAATAGTACAATAAAAAAAATGACACACTTTGACCTTAAATGTGTGCATGAACAGTTTTGAATGGTTTCTTTGACAATGTATCTACACTACCATCTGAACAACATGGGGTTGCATGTTCTCTTGCGTCCATAACTTGGGAGGTTGGATACAGTTCCATTAACTTTACACTTTTTAATAATATTGGCAGCTGTGGTCAGAGGAGCATAACGCTGCGTTGAGATGGTCTTGTAGCTAGGCTTGTCACGATAAACAATAAATCAATTAATCGCATGATGAATAAAAATTATCAACCTCATTTTCATTTATCGGCTTTATCGTTTCTTCGTGTCTCTCTCTTTCTACTGAAGACACTGGATGACAAAAAGCACAACTCTGGTGCTCTTCACTGACCTCTCCCTTTCTCTGTTCTCTTTAAAATCCATTTTAACGATCCAAAATCACGTTTTTGGATCATTAAAAGCAGCTAAGCTGAGAAGCTAAGCTACGAGCTACGCTAACAGGCCAACCTCAGGAAAAAACCTCCGTATTGTCTAGGGCATTAACAGAGTACTCACGTAATCTACACATCGATTGCTAGGACCTCTATCGAGGTTAAAAATGTAACGTTGAATATCCGTAGTGACGTCATATAATGTGACCACCGTATGACCGTAGAGGGCGGTGTTGCACTGTTGCAGGTCACAGAGTATGGTGTAACACCGGGTCCAATCCACTGTTTTAAGTTTCGTTTTTGACGTGCTGCATGTTTCTTCATGTTTGCAGTTTAATAATAATAACTAATAGTTTAGTTTTTCCTGTGACTTATTTGCAGTATGATAAATGGTAGGAGCATAATATACGCTTCCAATGTTTTGTTGGTCTTTTTTTTTTTTGTGTAAATAATTATCCTTTTTTGCGGTTTTATTTATTTATTTATTTTTGTATCTTGAGATCTATGACGTCATCAAGTACTCGAGTTCTACTCGGGTTTTATTATGTTAATGTCGAGTTTAAAAATTATATATTCGTTCAACCCCTAGTCTTGTCAAAGCTCCAAGATTCACGGTTGAAACCCGTGCCTTCATCTAAAAAGTTGTTTTTCTCTGCAAAAAGAAGCTGAGAACTTGTTTACTGATTTTTTTATTAAAGGCTTTGTGTGAAAAATGCTAAAGAGCTCAAACCACACCGAATGTCCGCCATTTTGAGAACCGAAAAAAGGAAAGAGAGACAACCCATGTCACATCAAGGGGCCTCCCTCCCATTTTTCTTAGAGACGATGCTTGCTCCTTCACTATCCATCCTTCAGTCTTGTACTGCCATCCAGTGGTCAAAAAAGACAATGCACACAAAAATTAACCAACATTTCTTCTTAAATTTGACAATAATTACTAAATATTGTCAAATTTCAAACAATATTATCGTTTATCGCAATTAATCGCCCAGCAACATTTGTTATCGTGACAGGCCTACTTGTAGCTTTTACCTTTAACGTGGATATCTGTCATCTTCTGTGAGGTTCAGTGATGCTCAGTGTGGTGCACACAAGCTACCCAGTGGCATGTTTGCTCCCTTTAAATAGGCTGAAGGACTGATGAAAAGCCAAAAGGCAACTGTGACACTAAATAAGGTCAAACACTTACTATTACTATAGACCATAGTAATTAGAATTGTTTAAATTAAAAAATAATTGTTTCTTTTCACAGTTTTCTGTTCATTTTTTCCCACACTACAGACAAGTAGATATTCATTAGATAATTACTTTTAACTGAATCATTTTTCACAAAAAACAAAGCACTGTTTTAATGAGCTGTGGGGTACCAACAATATTATCTGTTTGTGGACACTGGATGTATTTAAATGTCTTTAAAACCTGACTATTCTCTTACAATTTACAGAGGTGTATTCAAATCAGAAATCATTCTGAGAAGAATTACAAGAAAATATTAACTTTTAAAGCTGACCATTGTTTGACCAATGACCAAGGACTGACTTGAGTTGAAGTATAGGGATCCAAACGTTAGAGGAAAATCACCACATAAACAGTGGATCAAATCATTTACCCAACATGTTGATGACGCCTTCATTGTAAGCAGCAAACAACCGTATGGAGTCTTTAAACAGCAGCATAAAAGCCGTGTTGATCACCCCGTTGGTCAGCTCGTTGGAGTTCGGCTGCAGGAACAAGGAAGGAACGAGAGATTGGATCAGAACATCGTAGGATTTTGCTACAGAGTTTCAAACCGACGAGGTTGTGTACCTGAAAATCAAGCAGCGCATCGAGCTGGTTCTGAATGATGGGCAGAGTTTTGATCAGCTTCTCTGTGTTCATGGTTCGCATCACACCGTCTGCCCTAAAACAAACAAGAGCACATACAACAAACTCTAAAAAAGTGTTGAGGAAAAATGAATCTCTGCTTGTTGAGAAAGGCATTATTTTGCACGACATCAAAGTGTTACCCTCGCTTCATCTTGGTGAAGTCCACTGCTGCTAGTCTATAGGACATGGCTTTTTCATTCAGGTATCGGCTGTAGCGTCTGATGAAGGTTGACATGTTATATCCTGGGGGGTGCAAAGAGGGGGAGTTGCTGTTAGGAGACCAATCACCTTGGCATTTTATCCAAACTATAATTTTTTTTATGGTTTTATAAAAAAACTGCCTTTCCTAATGTGTCAAGCCAGCTCTCGCATAGTTTCATTTGTATTTTTCTGCTTTTAACTTAGCATTGTTTCAATTTTCTGCAACAATCAGCAGCTTATTTTAGTGAACAAAGAGCACCTTTTCAATCCCAAACCTTTTGAAACGGGCTCTGAATACTTCCTTATTGATGGTATTATAGAGCCAAGGAGAGGCCGACAGAAAGTCATTTTGTTAGACGTACAGCCGTGCTGAGTCTACAAACAGTCAAATAGCATTAAATCACCTTGTAGTGCAGCCTTATCTAGAAAGTTGTTGAGGTTGAAAAGCGTGTTTCTGGAGGCGAGGTACTGCATCAATCTCTGATAGGAAAAGAGGAGAAAGAAAAAAGGACAAAGTTAGCAATTTATCTTTTCCTTCCTGCTCGACAACATTAAAGTTATGTCCTCTTTACGTCACAAAGGAAATGTGTTTTTTGGATAAAATATCTGGACGTTTGTAGACAAGTCACAGCTTTATAAGCGTTTCAATAGGGATTTGTTTTATACTGATATTTTACACAATTTAGTAAATGTATAATATGGACACTTCTCGGTCATTATGGACAACATTAATGATCAACTAACTAAATAAGTTCCCATTAAGAGATATATAAAATGAAACTTTTCTTTGTCACTTCTAATGTTAGATCACCAGGGAGGCAGATCTGAGCTCTTTTCACTTGAAAACACTGAACCAACACATTTCTGCAGTTTCTAGAACATGGCATGGTTTTATTTATATATATATATATATATATATATATATATATATATATATATATATATATATATATATATATATATATATATATATACAAATGTATGTCCTTTTGTACATAAAATGGTGTAATGTGGGTTGTGTAGGTGGAATTATCCTCTGAACTAAAGCTGCCTTGCACCTCATTAACAGTTTCATGGCTTGACTTTCTGTGTCAAAGACTAATAAATGAGCTGCTATTAAAAATCATGGAGGGAATGAAGCTTTCACTGCCTTTATTTGTTACTTCTGCAACCTTTTTAATGCCTCACCTACAATTTTTATGTTATCACAGCACATTTTTTAGTTTGAATTTTGTTAAAATGTTTTTAAAATCCAGCAGCTGTACTTGTGCTCTTGCCATAGCTTCTGAGCTGCTGACAGATTTTTAAAACAGTTTTCTGCAGCATTCCTTTCTTTTTAATTGGGGGATGCAGTGATATTCAGACAGTTTCTTGAAACGTAACTTGAAAGCGTCTTTGTGTTTTGAGTGTAATCATCCCTTCAGTAAAGTCTGCAGTATGCTCCCCTTTATTTATTTATTTTCAAATCTGAGCTGCTCATCATTTAACATATTTGATGTTTCACTCGTTGATCTTGTAGGGCGAGCAGCGGAGCGAGGTGATTTGTCACACTGGCCATTGAAATGTCAGTGGGATACTTCATCAGCTCGTGTTGGACACGTGGAAGGCACGGCTTCAAAGAATCCCACTGTGAGAGGGTTGGAGAGATACTACTGCTACCTGGAGAGCAATATGTCAGACTTCTTTAGAGAGGTCAATAACTCCAGCTCACTGCCTGGAAAAAACATTCAGTGTATGTCTTTAATGTCTCTGTGCATAAACTGTCAATTTATACAGCTAATGTATTTTTTGTTTAATATTTTCTGTCCTTTCGTTAAACAGATACTTTAACTAACACATAAAAATAATGCATAGAAAAGTAATATTTACTTGCTTGTTTTATAAACTCATCATATACGGTATATATATCTATATTTGGGGCACCTAATTTGCTATTTAAGCTCAGTACTTCATTTGCTTTTCAGATTTTACATTTATCAAAAATGCTCTGAAGATTTTACTTTTATTATAGAGCAACAATTCAGATATTTTGAAGTAGAGTTCTGTGTAAAGGTTATGAGCAATTAATATCTTACCTGTTGTACAAACCGGATTCCAAAACAGTTGGGACACTAAACAAATTGTGAATAAAAACTGAATGCAATGACGTGGAAGTGCCAACATCTAATATTTTATTCAGAATAGAACACAAATCACAGATCCAAAGTTTAAACTGAGAGAATGTATCATTTTAAGGGAAAAATCTGGTGTTTCCTAATTTCATGGCATCAACAAATCCCAAAAAATTTGGGACAAGTCCGTTTTTACCACTGTGTGGCATCCCCCCTTCTGCTCAAGAAGTTTCTCAAGTTTAGAAATAGGAACGCTCTCCCATTCATGTCTAGTACAGGCCTCTAACTGTTCAATCGTCTTGGGCCTTCTTTGTCGCACCTTCCTCTTTACGATGTGCCAAATGTTCTCTATAGGTGAAAGATCTGGACTGCAGCCTGGCCATTTCAGTACCTGGATCCTTCTCCTACGTAGCCATGATGTTGTGATTGCTGCAGAATGTGGTCTGGCATTATCGTGTTGAAAAATGCAGGGTCTTCCCTGAAAGAGATG